TAGTATAAAAATGTATAAAGTCTTTTTTCCAGATAAGTTTTAAAAAGTATTTGACAATTCTGTGTTTAATCAAAAAGTCGATTTTCTATTTCTAATTGTAATTATAATCAATACTAAATTCGAGGTTCAAGATATATTAGCTTCGAAGATTGTTCGAAAAGAGGTTTGTTATAAGGTAAGGTGGGTAGGCTATAACGATGATCCTGTATGGTATTATTGTAGAGATGTGATGTATATATTTTATAAAGTTAAAAGCTTTTATGTGTAATACTTGTATGCTGTAGGCTTTTTAAAGAATTTATTAAAGTGAATAAAGAGATGGGAAGATGGTATTAATGATTATGATAATCTAATAAATAAAAAACCTATGGATATAGGTATAAAACAGATTTATTTAGTCAATTTATCTTGAGAAGAATAAACTTATATATAAGCCTTTTTCTATTATTATGAGAATTTGTTTACTTTATATTTACTTTTTATTTACATTTTTTATATTTCTTTTATTTATATTTTATTTTTATAAATCAACTTTATCTAAACCAAATTAATTCTTTAATTCAATTCGGAAATAATAAAAAAATTAGTAATATTTCAAACTTTATATAATATTTTTAACTTTTTAATATGTTTTATTAAGTAATAAGCTTAGATAATATTATTTAGATCTCCTTTGCTCTTCTTCTTATAATTAATATTAGATGATAAGAAGTAAGATCTGTTAGATTAGTAATTACAAGTTGTAATACCCATTTCATTGTTTACAAACTTATTTATCTTTACTTTTATTTTTAGTGAGTTTATTTATTTTATTAATATCCTTGTGTATATCGACTCACATTTAATCTTCCTAAAGTTTTAATAAATCGAAATAATCGAATTTAGTAAAATACAATTTGTAAAGCTTAATATTAATTTAGATAGCTTTATTATCAGATTATAGATTTACAAAATAAAAAAAAAATTTTATAAATGTTGGAATATAATGAAGGAGGATTTGGAAGCTAAGTATACAGTTTTTATAGTTATAGCTATTTGTAGTAAATATTCACAGAAAAATATTGAATTTACTACCAAATGATTAAATAGTTTTGTGGATAAGAAAAGTAAATACCTGGGTTAGCTTATTCGAAGCAATGCTAAATGAAAGGATAATATAACTAGAACCACAACCTTCACCTAATTCCTTAAAGCTACTCTAAACAACTTCATTGTTTGTTATATATTGAATATAATAATTATTAAATAATTTAAAAAAATCGAAAATTATTAATAAAATAGTATTTATTTTTTTAAATCAATTATTATTAATATCAAAAAAACTCAAGTTTTTTTAAGAAATACCTCTTATTATATTTCTTTTTACCCTTTTTGTAAACTTTTTTTATTATAAAAATATAATATATATATACTATCTAAAGGTATTTATAATAAATAATAAAACAACAAATTATATTGAATAATTAGTTTCTAATTTAATAAAAAAAAAAAAGAGAAAATAAATAGTATACCTTAAAGGTGATAAATAATATTTTGCTCTACAATCAAACAACTTATATGACTATAGCTAGTTCTTTGTGATAAGTATATAATACTTTGATCAACATTTCTAATAATAAAGATAATAATAACAAAGAAAACAAACTATTAGCTATACTATCAAGAAAAAGAAAAGTGATAAGAAAAATAAAGAAAAAAATAATAGTAAAAAAGGAATTTAGATTTTTAAAAACAAAAAAGTAAAAAAGAGATAAAAATGGACTTGAGGGTAAACTGTTTTTCAAAAAAGAAGTAATATAATAATTTAACCTTAAATCTAAATTAATCATCTATTTGCCCTATTTAGTAAAACAAATCTCATTTTGTTTTAATCCCCTCTTAATTTCTTTTTAATCTTTTTTAGATTTATAAAAACCTTTTATAGATTCATTCTTTATATAGTAATTTGTTATTCTCTAGTTATGATAATTGATTTATTCTATCACTATGACTTGACTCCGTTGCCGTCACATAGAATAGAGTAGAAGGGAGAGAATTAGAGATAGGATAGGCAGGCGGTGGTACAATGAAAATATCGACAGAGACTGCAATAGATGTAGATGGACTGAAAACTAGAAGGCAAAGAGACTGCAAGCTGCTATGTCGATAAGTGCATGACCAAGTCCAGGCCCAAATATGAATGATGTGGAGATAGAACTCAGGTGTGCATTTCAAGTCAGAAGTTAAAGTATTTAGTTAACTAAACAAATCAACTCATAGAGTAAAAATGATATTCTACACTCTTTCAATGATTACATTACGGATACATCGAGCTACAGAGTCCAAAGTCACAGATGGGATCAAGAACATAATATCAGCACAAGTGAGTATAATTTCATTCGCTAAGTAGTCATAAATATGTGTGAAGTAATGTAGTGTGTGGGAGAACAACCGTAGCACGAAAATTCGCCTCTTATCCAACCCCTTCCCGTTACCCCCCAATGAACAAATGAAAATTCGGGATCAACATCTCATTGAAAGCATCGATTCCCACCAGATAATACAGAGTTGAGATCGGTTAAATTATTGACATGGAGAGTATCTGTCTCTTACATCTCGAATTGGATTGGTGCTCCATTGCTGTCTGTTCCGATGATAACCTTCTTATGATCGGCACCAAGAACCATGAAAACTTCTGCACATAACACGACAGTGAAGAAAGTCGCGACGGCAATTTCCATAGCAGCAGCCTTGACATATGCCTTCAAAAGTCTAACACGTGAGTTCCAGTCAAATGTTTTCCATGCATCGAGGGTACCCAAGACACCATCTTCAGAAACACGTCCACCAAATGTACGATCGAATGGTACGATAGATTCATGATCTTCGGAAAGGAGAGAAGCTTGAACACGAATAAGGCTGACACTTGCTGGAATGAGAACGAGGAAAGCAAGGGCACCGGCTAGAATAATGACGGAAGCTGTCTGGATACCCATAGCTGAGACTTGTTGCGGGGTCATCTTTGAAGGTTCGCTCTCGAATGATTCGAAAAGACCGATGGAGAGAGCAAGGTAACCTGGAAGGAAGATAGCGGCTTGTTTGGCGAGAGCAAAGACAACTGTTGCTGGAATAACCTTCTTAATAGTTGCAACGTCTGGCATTCTCTTGAACCATGGAAGTGGGCTTGGGTCCGAGATAACGATGTGTGTCCATGCCAAACTGAAAGGTGCACAAAGGACATTCGCAAGAGGATAAGCGAAGATGTTAGGGAGGAATATAGAGAGGAAGTTCATTTGTAGACCCAAGACAAGGGTTTTGATGAAGTGCATTCCAACACCACGTAAATGACTTTGCTTTCCAGCGCGGGCGCGAAGGTGCTTGATGGTTGATTTAAAGCTCGAGGTAATGGGCTTTTGCTTTAAAAGTAAGAGTTCCGGTTCAGCATCTCCTTTGTGGTCGAGTTTCGCATCGGGATCTTCAGATGTGAGAGGTTCGAATAGGATTGCCTGAGGAGATTCGACCATAAGAAGGGTAGGAACGAGTCTGGTGAAGGTATATTCAACCTATTTTGATAATTAATTGACGGATTCATCAAGTTTAGAAGGATACCATGAAGAGAAGAGCCTTTGTTGTCATTTTGTAAACATACCATAAAGTCCATGATCAAGAATACAACAACAGTACTTGCGATCATCATAACACCCCAAACTGGCATTTGAAATTCTTCAGTTGGTGTCTCTGTACCCCGAAATGCATCAAGACCTCTTTTTGCCAGCCCCATAGTTGGAAGCATTTCTCTTGGAAGCATTCCCATAATGCCGACTTTATTCGATGTAACTTCTCGATCGTTCGTGTTTTCGATATTTGGTATCGTAGTATTGAAGAAGATTGTATCAGGAAAAGAAAGAAGATTTAGTAGGGAATGAACATTCAAAGTGGATGAAAGAAAACAGGAAAGGAAGAGAGAGAGAGAGAGTGAGTGAGCGAGTGAGATAGTGATGAATGAAACATATGAGGCGGGTAGGTAATCAATACGAAATACGGACATAAGCGTGCGGCGTCATTGCTCCTGAAATTGTGGCGCAGTCGTCTTAGGAGCCTAATCTGTAACTACCTACCATGAAGAGTGATTACATAATTTACATTGAATTGAGACCTGCAGATTGTAGATTATCTTTATTAGAATAGCCATGGAGAAAGAAATGATAACTCTTTCGGTCTGTTTATATTTCTCATATTGATTGATAAACAGGTACAGGTGAAGATGGATGGCTACGAAAGCACAACGCAACGTCTTGAATGAGATAACGCCAATCCATTTGATATCCCTTTCATATGGTCATCTACCCCGTCGGATATACATTGTACAACATCCACGGGATATACGGATCACGGCTCAATCATCTACCCACTATACCAGAACAAGATTTTGCCTCTTCCTCCTTTCCATAGCAAATCACCTCCAATCAAATATCTAAAACTAAGACGTATGCCTTTGGCTACCTGGGCTGCCCTCACGACAGTAGCCTCCGGAAGACCAGCGGAGCGTCATTTCATTTACACAGCTCAATGAATCTCTTTCAACAACAGGTCACTTACTCTTCTTCTATATCCATGAACGATCAATGTTGGTGGTGTATTCCACCTTGGCCACATTCTGGCCACGCCTCTGAGAAGGGCTTTCTAGTCACAAGTTTGTTAAGAACAGATTAATACTTGCTCAAATTGAATCACTATTACACACACCTACCTGTGTACGGTAGAACGTTTTGTAGCATGCAAGTTTCTCATGGCTGAACTGGGGTCGAAATTAGCTACATGAAGTGTGGATACTATTATTATGATAGGGCTGATGATTTTAATATATGCATCGTAAATTGGCCCATGACTTGCTGTCGATGTTCTTAAGCACCTTTGTCCGTCGACGTTACATCTACAGAAATTATGATACACTGTATCCTGTACATTATTTACAAGTACATTCATTTAGGATCCATTCCATTCCATTCCTTTCCACCCAATCAGTCAATCAATCCTAAAAGTCTCCCAGCAACCCCATCCCATTCTTCATCCCATCTCTTTCTTCCCTCCTCAATAGCCCCCTTCTTTAATCTCGCTAATTCCTTTCCACTTGTATCCTTGAAGACTTCCTCCAAAATCTCTGCCAAATCTTTCGCTGTTGTAAATCCCCATCCGTTGATACCCTCCTTGACCAATTCGGGCCAACTGAAATATTGATCGTATCCAACTACTGGCAATCCTGCTCCAAACATATCAACCACTTTCATGGGCAGATCTACACCACTACTACTCTTATGTAAACAAACTCCAAGGTCGGCGCATGCAAGTAACGAGGCGTAATCTTCAATACTAAGCCATGCAGTCTTGATTGTAACATTGACCAAATCATAGCTTTCAGTGAGTTCGGCAATTCGATCAAGATACATTTGCTTCTGTGGACCTTTTCCAGTGATGATGGCAAGAATTGGTGGGCAATCAAATTCGGCAAATGGTCCATATTTAACGAGCGCATCTAAAAGAAGGTTGAAATCTTCATCAGGAGTCCATGATGTACTGCTAACTAGTAGTCTTACATCTCCATTCATAATCGCATCGACATGATCTTTTGTTTCTGGTAAACGCTGAAGAAAAGCACGTCGCTTTGCCTCGTCGGTAATCGGTTGGAAAATGGAAGCAGGTCGATCGTGAAGGGTAAAAATTGGTGATTTGATCTTGTAGGGACTTTCGCGTAGTTGGCGCTCCATCGCTTTCGAAACTGTGAATGAAGCGGTTGGTGCCCACGATCCGAGGAAAGCTTCATACCATTTGTATAGTCGAACGAATATGTGTTTAGGGCCTCTTGTTCCTGCTAAGATAGTCCATCCATAATTATGCCAATCAATTATTAAATGTGTATTGCGTATTAAACAGACGAGGTATGCGACGAAGAAGGTGGGAATTGAGGGGGGGTTCTAGTCATGTTAGAAGATCATTGCGTGTGAGAGCCGGACGCCTTACCTGAACTAAAAGCCATCTTGCAGGTTTTGTAGTATAACATAAAACAAAAAATAAAGTCCAGATCTGCCATAAAACCTTGCAAGGCCCTGCGAAGAAGAATGGTATAGTACCATCTCGTAAATTTGCTGGTGGTAGCGGTAAGGGTACGATTGTAATGAGAGGATTGTCTGTTAAGCCAGAAGGGAGTTCAGATTCTATGTAACTGTTAGCACAAGTCATCGAGAAAGCTTGCTTCTGTGTAAGCTTTAATACCTTCATATCCAATAAGATCCACTCTTCCACCATGTTTTGCTATACTCATAGCATGATATTGCATTCGAGGACTTCGCCCAATATCTCCCAAGACCAAAACCTGAACGGAGATCTTCGGCTCGACATTTGCGCCATCTTGAGTAGCCATTGGAGGCGAATGCTTGATGTATTGTTTAGGTATCAATAAGAGGGTAACTGTGAATATTGTAGAAATTATTGTAGCCAATGTTAGAAGATTCTCTAGCATGACGTGGTATCGTGAGATTCAGATGAAGTTCGGACACTTCCAGATGAGAACAACCTTCACCCAGTCAAAAACTATCTATGAATAGAAGAATTGGCTAGGTTATGCCTCCATATCTGAGAATTGACGCAAGCTTAACTAGGAAAAGAAGATGATAGAGATTGTCACAAGTAAATAGATATTTATAGAAGTGAAGTTTGGAGTTTGGAGTGTGAAGTATCAGAATGTATTCTTATCCTTTTCTTCACTCCACTTCAATGCTTCACTTCACCAGAAACAGATCATCCATTGAGAAAAAGTCGGTGTCCGGCGGTGACAGTGGGCAATATCAGCTGAAACTGGCTTAGTATCGGGTAGTACCCTTGTCGATATCCCATTTAAGTCATTTTCTTGTCGTTATCTTTCAAAAAGGCAAGTGGGAAATATTTCAAGGGAATTGATTGGATGATATTGACCGAAAGCGGTATTTTAGCACAATTGATTGGATGGCATTGATTTGAAGTCGCATTTTAACATAATTCATTCGATGGCATTTGTTCGTATTCAAAGTTGAAGTAAGTTGCATTCTCAATAGAACCTTGGAACGCTTTTCCCTTTCCCGGTAGCCACAGATTTGTTAACCCAGGGGGAAGACTCCAAGAAGAGTATCTGGGGTTGATTGGAACTTCCTTACTGGTTCGTTGGTAGGATCATCAGCATAATTTCGAGAGAATTTCCTGAATTGGTACCTACTGATTCTTGTACTTGTGTGCGTACCATGCTCATGCTGTAACTTTCAATTTCTTTCATTTCTGTCTTCAATTCAATCCCTACTCTCACTTCATAACAAGACTCTCATTGAACATCGGCAAAAGATTGAATCGAAGTATTGGGAATATATATTAAATTGGATCTCTTGCTGCATTTGACAACTCTGTCTGTCCATTTGCATCGTCAAAGCTCCTACTATCTACCGAAGCCAACCTATCTCGGCGCAAATCAAAACAAGGAAGGTGCTTCGTAGAGAGAGATACTAAGGACACCGACAACACATGTGGAGAGGGGTTGAATATATACGGGCTTCATAGCTCGTTCGATCCATCTCAGAATTAACGAAGTTATGGCCTCATCTTATGCGCTGCCGGCTTCAGCAATTACCAACAGTCACCATGGGCATGGACATTCTCATTCCCATTCATCCTCACATTCAAGCCGGTCCTCACAATACTCTGCAAGTAGGTCCAGGCCATTGAATCAATCAATCTCAAGTCTGCATAGCCATTCGCACGATCGTTCCGAAACTCTCCATGAGCATGAGCATGAACATGAACATGAACACGAAAATGAACACAATCATGGCCACTCTCACTCCCACTCTCATTCGCATGGCCATGCGCACAACCACAGCCATGATAACTCGACATCATACCTGCCGTCACCGCCATATAGTGAAGCGACTCCCATGTCTGCCAACTTCGAGAAAGGAGCATATGGGACCTACGAACCTCCGGTAAACGATGTACATGTTGACAGCCATCATGGTCATGATCATGACCATGACCACCACAACCATTCGCATGGTACGACAACCGAAACGAAATCACGATTTACGAGTTTGATACTGCCATACGCATCCAAATGGCCTCTTTTACATGCAATATTGGCGAGTAAGGATTCGAGGAGGATCTTTTATTTCATGAGGTTGGTATTCTTCCAAATTATTGGAGAACCAAGCTAATTCTGCCAGTCTTAATTTTGCCTTTATGATCGTTCAAGCATTTTACGGATTCGTCACGGATTCTCTCGGTCTTTTGAGCGATAGTATACATATGTTTTTCGACTGCTTGGCACTCGGAGTGGGATTGTTTGCTGCAGTTGCAAGTAAATGGCCACCGAGCCAAAGATTCCCATACGGATTTGGAAAGATTGAGAGTTTGTCGGGATTTGGCAATGGAGTATTCCTCATGTAGGCAACTCTTTCCCAATTGTTTAGTACTCGCTGACGTAGTTTATAGACTTATTAGTATTGAGATTATGATAGAAGCGACTGAACGATTGGCAGAAGGACGAGAAACAAAACGATTGATGGAACTTTTTGTTGTCAGTTCTTTGGGATTGGCAGTTAACTTAGTTGGCATGGCCTGCTTCGGTCATCATCATCACGGACACGACCACGGCGATCATGATCATGGGCATGATCATGGCCATTCACATGGACATTCTCATTCCCACTCTCACGACTCTCACTCCCATGACTCTCATTCCCACTCAGGATCTTGCGATCACGGTCACAAGAAACAACCCTCAATTCTCCACGATGACCATTCACATTCGCATTCACACGGTGGCCATTCGCATGATAACGAAAACATGAGAGGTATCTTTCTTCATGTACTTGCAGATACAATGGGCAGTGCTGCAGTCATTGTCTCTACTGTGCTAATATACTTTCTTGGATGGTCAGGCTGGGACCCCCTCGCATCTTGTCTCATCGCAATTCTCATTTTCCTTTCCTCAATTCCTCTTGTCAAAAGCAGTGCGAAAAAACTACTTTTAACAGTTCCTGATGATACCGAATACAATTTACGAAACACGTTGGCAGGTGTAAGTGATTTACGTGGAGTTCAAACCTACACCGTTCCAAAGTTTTGGCTCGGCGATAAAAATCAAACAGTATTAGGAGTCATGCACGTTGTTGCGACCAGAGGATCAGATCTTGAAGATGTTTTAACGAGAACGAGAGCATTTCTTCTAAGTAAAGGTGTGGATGTGGTAGTACAAGTTGAGAAAGATGGAGACGGTAGTTGTTGGTGTGGAGGAGCTGGTAATAGCAGTCGATCGAACACAAATTCGAGATTTTCCTAGTTGCACAAGATTTATGGGTAGGATTTCTTTCATGGAAGAAACATCATGGGATGACGATAGGATTGAAATAGGATATTGATTGATGAATTGATGGATACTTTTATGGCAGAAAAGACGTGTACATGCAAATAGCATTTAAATCATATTAGCAGTACTTTTGTAGATTTGGAATGAAGCGATATCATGTATATCTTCTACCCTTGGAGCAAGATATGTCGAGAACCTTGACCGCATTGAACGTCGCCTTGAAAAGTCTAGATTTATTATGACGGTGATGGAAGGAGGAGGAAAGCCGTGGAAGGGGAATTGCAAAAGTTTCGGTGTTACCAGTACAAGGAATGTCGCTGTCCTAAAAGACTTCAAATGAACGCTCTCAATGTTTAGCTCAATCCACATACATTGTGGCGTACTACACGATATTTATCACATTTATGAACGAGACTGGAGACAATATGACGAGAAGAAGTTGATGATTTATTTCTAAAAAGACTAAACATCCAACCCTTCAAGATACTCAATCGGAAGCCCTTCAACTGAAGATATGCTATCATACGCAGCAAGGAAGGAAAATGAAGCTGATAGCCTCATTTATCCGACTCAATACTACTCACTACTCCCAAAGTCCATCCCTATGAAGACAAGCTACTGCGTAGAGTATGATTGCATCACAGTTTGCCTTACTACTACAATCTTCCTTGTGTTGAAGTGCACAGTACATCTTGACCTCGCATCCCTCAGGCTTCGTCTTACCAGGCTGAACAGCATACTCATCTTGACAAAAACCCATGACAGCACTGTGGGTTATGCCACCAGGAGGATAGGGATGACCTGCTGGAACTTGAGACAGGGTGTACTTCTGCTTGTGCTTGCAGAATGGTCGATGTGGACAGAGATCGGTGGAGTTAACCTTGAGGATGAGGGACCAGGGACAGACGTTCTTGTATTCATTGTCGAGTGTTGTGAGTGCTCGTTTCAATACGATAGAGACCTTGACAAGGTAGTGGCGGTGGGCATCATCGCTGAGACCAACCCCTTGCTTGTAACTAACGGCGAATTGTTCGAGGAACTTGATGTCGTCTGCGTAATTGAAAACAGAGCTAGGTTCGTTGCGAGGATTTCTCATCACGTCTATTGCAAGCTCAGTCTGTTTAAGAACATTTTCCAAACGCTCTGCTTGAAATCGTTGATGATTTTCAGATTCTCTGACCATCTCCTTTACGTCTGTGAGGAGGTCGCCGCAAATCTCGGAAGATATTGGGTGGACTATTGACATGTTAGTAAGATGTATATTGACTTGAAGATTGCTTGTGCTTGATGTCGAGAGGGGATACTTACGATGCTCTTGGGTGCAGATACGACGTGTAGAAGGGATGCGTTGAAAAGCCAAAGGGGCGTTCTGAAGCTGAATCTCTCGTGCAAGAAAGCTCGTCATTGTTAGGTTGACTAAGTAGTCGCTGAGCAGTTGACAAAGAACGTTGACGCGTTGTGTAGATGAGCAAAGCTAGCGCGGTGACTTGAGATGCCGATAGCAAAAAGGTGCTCGTAGATTTTCAGATAGAAAACGCAATGTGAGAAGCAAACTTTCTGGTTTACTGATCAAGTACCAAGGTGGCTCGAAGATGTGTGGAGAATGGAGTAATTGTTGAGTTTGATCGTGGTCGACGGATTCCAGATTCGGAATTTTGAGACGAGCAAATGAGGTGTAAGAAATGCCCGTCGTTATGGCCTTGGACTATTCGTGAAGGGAAATCTGAGATACTAAGTGTCAGAAGTAGGCTAGGAAAGAGAAGACTTCTCTATTATGTCGGATTGGTGTGTTGCGAAAAAAGACTTACGGGTAGCTGGCTCTTCTTCTCAATCAATTCTGAACAAAGTACAAGGTTCGAGACAGTATAAACTGTCTGAACCGTTGGAGAAGACAAACTCTTCGAGACAAAATTGGAGTGAAAGTAAAGAAAAGTGTGTGTTGTCTTGAGGGTAAGTTGTGGTGTGGGAGTCGGAAGACTAAATACTGAATTTTCAACGGCACGCGAATTCACTGAGACTTTTTTGTTGAGAACCCTGACGGAGACATAGGATGAACTTGGCCTTGTGAAAAGGCATTGCGGATCTCGTAGATTTTACTGAAATGAGGTAACAGATGAAGCTGACTTGTGATTTTTTAACTTTTTAAATTTTGGTGATGTGACATTGAATTCAAGAAAGCCATCAACTAAACATTATTATCAGTAGACTTCTTATCTAGAGATAATTAGAAGCTTTGAGACTACGATTATGTACCTTAGTAGTCACAGATACAATTAAATCAGATGCAAGAGAGAAAAAAGTTGTTTCGAAGAGTCTTGACATTTTCAACATTCTCTTGATCATTCTCGGTTAATTCGAGGGGTAAAAACAACTAAACAAACATACCACATTTAGAAACAACTTTTCCAAGACAAATTACAACAGACGTGTTTTCTTTACTTAGGAGGGACCTACCTTTTTCCTGTTCTAATAAAACGAGTCTAACTTTCCTTTCATATCCTCCAACAGATGGTTTGGAAATTGAGGCTCGCAATAAATTGTTTACCAAATACTCAAGACAATTCTGAACAATGGGCTCGTTAGGTCAGTATTCCGTCCAGCGGTGACAAAAGTTCACGCCTAAATGCTATCTCTAACTTCTAATACGTAATTCAATTAGGATATCGTTTTGCGAACAAGCAGATGAGCGACTGGTCGACTGCTCATGGACAACGCGAAACGCCCTCTGCGAGGACTCTAACAAAGTCCTCTCTACCTTAATTAGAGTTAAGATGCACCGCAATTATTAAGAAGGATATAGAGGAATACTTGATTACACGGCGAAGATACGGAGAAAGAAGTTTCTGGGACTGCTGAAAAATCTCCATGGCATCCGTGTTGTGGACGGCTGGAAGGTCAGGTCAATTCAAAAGTCGCCGTACTCCATTCGTGAACTTCAACAATGAAAGTTATCATATTCAGGATTGAGTCACCGGACAATGTACGACGTATAACATAGAAAATTGTGACCCCTAGCTGCGGTAGTTCCTCCTGCTGAGCATGTCGTGGAAACTTGAAAGGTTGTGCTCACTTTGCGACCTTTCTCACCGTTCACATATATTTCATCATGATCATTAACGAGAATTCCGTATGTTGATGAAACTTATTCTGTCTGATATGGCCAGAATTTGGCATTTACTTGCCCAATCTTATCAAGAAAACCTGTGTTGATGAAACAGGCATGCAGAAAAGTCTGGTATATACGTGTAGACTATGGCAAGAATTTGTGTAGGTATCTTGATGTTTTGAATGATACCCGGCGTCAGGTTCCATTATACGAGTTGAAGTTGGACCAAGAAAGCTCTCAGCACGCAATTATTTGTCATGCTCCAAGGAGTATACTTTGATTTCTCATTCGGTTACGAAACAGTTTGAGAGCAATAGATTACTGGTAATCCTCAACAGCCCGTACTAATCTTCATTTCTTCAATTGATTCACCAGAGTAGAGTTCCAGCACTATAGTCTGCCGTAGGAAATAAAATTATCTATATCAAGACTACCAGTTGCAAGTAACCTTTTGTAAAATTCCTCTCCAATTTGAGTTCAAAACCAAAGGCACTCAACGATCAACCAAAAATCTTTCGTAATTGACCGATGTAAAAAATGAACCCAACCCAGGACCTTCGCAAAGTGACAAGGTAAGCGAAAAAGAATATCCTACACAATAAATACCTTTCTCCCTCACCCCTCACGCACACACAAAGTCTCGCTAACCACAATCCCAGATGGCTAGGAAGTCCCATAGTCCATATCTACGTCGGCTTCTCATCCCGAGAATTCGCTGTCCATAAAGATCTCATATGTTACACCTCCCCCTTCTTCCGCGCCGCTTTCACATCTGGATTCCGAGAGACAAACACAGGAACCATAGAACTCCCCGAAACGGATACAGAAATCTTTCTTTTATTCATGGGGTAGCTGTATACTCGGGAACTCAGTAGCGCGAGCCTGGAAATCGGGGAGTGGGAGACAGAAGCAGAGCGAAATGTAGTGGTTGAGAGTACGTTAGGTATTGGAGATCCTATCGAGAGGAATGGAAAGAGAAATTACTCTGAAGACCCATCGAAACGCGATGATAAAGTCAAGAGAAAAATCCAGGCACTGATGAACGCTCTCGAGAACGAAACGTGGAAAGGCGAGGCGGAGACACTTTTCGAAGATGCGGTCGGAAAAGAATTCCTCGACACTCTCGCTGCGCAAATCGACATGAAAGCAAACAATAAAATTCACATTTCCATGAGAAAAATGCTAGAACTCTATGTTTTCGCGGATATGGTTCAGATACCCGCTCTTAAGAATTGCTGTATCGGAAAGTACGATGAGCTTCGTAGGGGTATCAAAAATAAACATGATCGTCATGATCATGATGATTTTGAGATGACTCTCGAATCAATCTCATACGTGTGGAAAAATACGAGGAATTCGGATTTGATTAGGGTGTATTTACTTGATTCGATATCGTGGAGATCGGAACCGAGTATTCGGGAGGGAGTCATTAGGAAGAGGGATCGCGGTAGTCCGGTGGATGATTTGGAGAGGTATTTTGAGAGGGTAGATGAAGATTCCAATTTTTAGGTACTTGGGAGGCGGGTAAGTATTTGACAATAGCGATTCTATGATAATGAGCATGATACCAATATTTCCAGATCATTTTTCATCTTTTGCGAGGAGAGAAGACTGGCTCTACTTCATCAGTTTGAAGATGTAAAATATTATTTGAGCACCCCCTTGGACGATGACCTTAAGCATGACCTTAAGCATGCCCTTTTATTACTTGAATTCTGTTGACAAACGAATGCACTGCACATTGCGCAAACACTCTACCCAAAAAATGCGACTTCAACAAATTTTCACTAATCGGTCTTCACCTGTGTGAGAAAGAAGGGCAAAGGAATGATGTTCCTAGAGAACTATTGAAGGGACTGGATTCAACTCAACACAAATCTCGTGTGCAAAGTCCAAAACAACTTACCGTCAATTGAAGCAGCTAGGAAAGAAGGTCCGTATCGTTATTATTTTAGTATGAATCTCAAAGTATGTAATTAAATATTCCTAAGCGCAACTGCAAGAGCTAAATAATCGAGCGTTTGCCTTTCTATATATGAAGGTTCGAGCTGTTTCTTCTTTTTGAATGAGATACTATGATTGATAAGACAAGGCATCGTTTAAATCCCCATACTTGAAAGTCCCCAATATAAGCGATGATCGAACCATCTCAAACTTCACCTCAAGATAAGGCGCTACATTTCGCTCAAAGCATCGATCATCAGAACAACCCCATATCTGGAACCTCTTTTTACACCACTATTCTCGCAGCTTTACCATTATACCTCTGGCTTCCTTCCATAAACGAAATGAAACTTCATGTAAACATGATTCAAGGGATTCTTCATATCATTCCTTGGTCCCACCATCATCACTTGTGCCTCCTCAAAGCTATACCCCAATACCCGTGTGAACAACGCCATACTGATTGGTTCGACGGCATCCAAGCATTGAGCTTGATAATACATACCAATCTCTTTGAGTCTTTTGTCTTTGGGCCAGCGACCAATAGGTACCTTGTAGACTTGATCATGAACATCAACAAAGCCAGCATCAAGCATCCATTGCTTCTGATTTCCAGCAACTTCATCCATCATCTTTCCATTTTTAACACTTGCTTCATCAATCAATCCAAAAAATCTTTGCAGATCTCCAGCATTGAGATCAGTGCCGTCATCACTCTCGATATGTACCTCGTGCTCTTGTGCTTCAACCCATCCTCCGGGTCGAACATGCGTATAGGCCTGACTGAGCAATTTTGGCCAATCTGAGATACTAGATGCAAGAACTCTCCAGTGGATCAAATCGAATTGTCGATTGTTAGAGAACAACCATTCATTCTCAGCATCATCTATCATGAATTTACAGTTCGGTGGTACCCAACCCGGTTGGATAGGACTTAGATCCGTTCCAGTGACTTCAGCGGAAGCAAATTCATCGGCACACTCAATTGCCCAAAGACCAGTTCCAGTTCCGATGTCAAGGATTCGTTGCGGATTAGGATCTATAGGTGCGCAGAATAGTTTCCCACCAAGAATGAGCTTGAACACGTGATGTTTGAGATCGAGTCGTTGTTGTTCGGCTTCATCATTAGGAAGGAGGTAAGAACCGGACTGATAGGCATGATAACGACGACCATTTTCGTAGGTGTAGTTTAGCATGGACGAAGTGATAGATGTAGAGGCTGTTGATACATCGTCGTCGTCCCAACTGGAATCAGCATCGCTATGAGTATCCTAAATTTGTGGCGTTCTTAGCATTGTTGACGTGAAGTGAAGTGGTGGATGGTTCACATGATATGTGATTGATTGTCATCATCATTACAAAGATGAGAAAGCTTTCTTTACTTACAACTTCGACATGATCATCTTGATCTCCATCACTTTGATGGGCGATATTTTGATTCACGGTTGCGGTTTGTGTGTAATCATGATTTCCAGTTGTGGTAGTGGTGGATTGATCGAGGGATGTTGGTTCTGTTGATTGTGGGGGAACCGAGGTGGTAGAAGTTGTAGCTTGTGGAATATTTTGTTGTGATTGATCTGAAGTAGCTGCTGTCGTTTGTGGAGTATCTTTTCCCGTTGATTGTGACATGATTACTTTGGTGGAATGATTTTGGGAACTCCTTACAATAAATATAATGATGGTTGACAATTGATGATCGACACTTGACACACGAGAGAATAGAGATTGATTGCCGGTAAACCTTATGTATGATGATCTAGTCCAACCGCTGCGTCACGGGCCGCCTTTTATACGTAGCTTGATTGCCAATGAGTGTATGTATGTCCGCAGAAGACAAATACGGACGAATATATAAGGGAGGAGATAAAAGGAGGTGAAAGTGGTGCGATATATATATATATGTATATATAAATCTATAAGATACAAGAAACATATGTCGATTTATAGATTGATATAATTTCACTTGACTACCTAGGTACGAACGGTGTAAACGGGTGAGTTTTCCAGAGGAGGATGAGTGTGATGTGAATACGTTAGTAGGAACAGAGGTGGGTGAGAAATGGATACATACAGGAGTTTGAGATGATTCCGAGTTTTTTCATTTATTTTTTTTAGCTCCTTGGGTTTATCTTACGGTAAAGATCCAAGTATGCATTCACTTCTGTGGTGTGATAGGTTCAAGGGATCAAAGGTCCATGTGTGCATGTGTTCATATCAGATCTTCAATCAAGGGAGGTGTAGATGTAGGGTATCATTGCATGGTGGGATCCAACTCCCCGGTCAGAAAATAAAGATGTAGGCGGGAATGTATGCATGTGGAGAGGAGGACAGAGTAGGTACCTGGGTAGACGGAGGATTCCAGCAAGAATACTCTCAGTCACTCCGTCACTCCGTCACTCAGTCACCCAGTCACTCACTCACAGTATGATGTATCTAATCATTGTAACAAGTATCTTCTTTCTCGCCTTTTCTGACTAGGAACGGCGGTGTGTGTATAGGTAGTTCCCCCATGTACCTAGGGTTACAATTACATGGCTCGAGCATGGTACAATTTGTATGATGGAGCTCCGTGATAATGTATATACACATGTGAAAGAATACGATACTTTTATGATAAAATATGATACAGAGAATGTATACAGAGAATATATACAGAGAATATATACAGAGAATATATACAGAGAATATATACAGAGAATATATACAGAGAATATATACAGAGAATATATACGGATCATATAGTTATACAGATCATATAATATATCCACTGTCAATCAAGTGTAAAATAAAACCCCCTCAATTGACCTCGGAATGACCAATTAACTTCCTCCTTTGATCTCTGGTTATAACATTCCCGTCCCCTTCTCCGTATTTTGAAGCCACCATGCGAACCACGAAGATGAAGCCATTGTGAAGAAAGCATTGATGATGGATCATTGAACCCTCCCAGTCGTCAAGACTCAAAACTCAAAACTCAAAACCCAAAACCCCCCTCCTCTTCCTCTTGAGATTTATTTCCCATTCACACCGACGACAAGTGAGTGGATCGATAACTTGCCGTGTGAGATATGTATGGTCGGTGTGTTGTCGGATCACATCTACTTTGAGCATTAGTGAAAGTACTGTAACCCCACTCACCTCACGGATGATGGATCTAATGCATTCACGAAGTTGTGATATGTATGCACACCAAGGTAATGCCACGTTTTGATGCCGGAATATCCATGTGTGTATGGCTATGTGTGTGTGCGAGCAGGTGCGGCCAATTTGGTGTGGGTGGATTTCCTAGGTATTCACTGCCCAGTGTCCGCTCTTGTGAGTAGCTCGTGACACCATACCATTACATTCGCTATTCACCCTTCTCTTCACATCGCAAGTTTTTGCATCTTGCATCTTGCATTTGTCTTACCTTACCATTCGAAATCACTACCCAATCCATAACCGTTGCTCACTGATTATCGTTCCGCTCAATTCATGCAACTTAAATCTCCGATAAGACTTACATAGATCACTTGCACGGAGCACTCTGCAAATCAAGCCAACCAATCGTCATCATCATGGAGAAATCTCCAGAATCATTGGCGCAAGAGATTGCAAGCATGAGAGAGCAATTGAGTAAAGTCAGTGAAGCAATTGATGCCTATGAATCAGTAGCCACTCAAAATCTAGCCAAAAAAGATATTCAGTCCAAAGGAGAGATCAGCCAAAGGCATGTAGAGCTTTTCATGGAAACGGATAGGCTGGTAAGGAAAGTAAGGGGTCCGGTGGATATGGTGTTTTCCAATTTTGAAAACGTAAGTCTACTAGTGTTTGGCAATACAGGTCTGGCTTTCATGAGAATTATCAATCACGATGGGTCTTTGCTATTGAGTGATGACATACGTGGGTAGAGCAGGGGAAATATGCAAGCTGACTTAAGATTCGTCACATATGAATAGTCAGTACATTCGGGAACTTTGAGAGCAGTTTTAGAAATGGGTGTATTTGATGCTTTACCCACGGACGGTTCATCATCTAGTGCTGCAAAATTAGCGGAGAAGCTCGGCGTTGAGAAAGAACTGCTGGGTAAGCGTTTACATTCCGTTCCACCTGCAATATGCTTATGAACTGAATTTGTACCAGTTCGATTCATGCGAGTCCTTACGGCCGTGGGACCATTTGCGGAGACAGGGGAAGAGGAATATGCTCATACACCATACTCCATGGTGTATATGGCCCCAGAGCTGAGGGGAATCTTCAAATTAATGTCAGGAGATCATTCCACCATAGCCCATTCCACACCCTCCCAAAATACTTCACGAATCGCCATTATTTTATTCTAACGCAAATCAATAGGTTTGACGAATACAACCTCGCCAACGCTCGGATGTACGAGTTTTTCCGCGAAAATGGCTTCAAGAGTCCAGAAGATCACCTTCTAAATCCATATTGCTTTGCGCACCAAACTGGGGAGAAAAATATGTGGGAGCATATTGGCGCGTTCCCAGAGCGATTCCAAAACCTGAATTTTGCCATGATTGCGCAGACCGTAGCCACGAATTGGACGGTTGGAATATTTCCATTCAAAGATGCGTTGAAAGGGATTGAATCCAACGATGAGACTGTGCTAGTCGTCGATATAGGTGGTGGCAGTGGACACGTGACAAAGCAGATCATGGAGTTCGTGAAAGAAATTCCAGGGACAGTGGTACTTCAAGAACGAAATGAATTGATCGATGCAATTGGTCATACAATTCCCGAAGTTACGACCATGAAATATGATTTCTTCACACCTCAACCTATAAAAGGTATTGTCAATTTCTCTTTTCCTTGCGAAATCTGTGCCTTGTGTGTGTTGTAATTAACGATGATTAGGAGCTCCAATATACTACATCCGTCGATGCCTCCATGACTGGCCAGATGTTGATTGTGTTCGCATCCTGAGGGTAATTGCCGATGCAATGGCACCCGAGATCTCAAGACTGGTAATCTCGGAGATCGTTCTTCCACCAATTGCCGCCGATGTCGAAGCTGGATGGATGGATTTAACGATGATGACGCTGAGCGGACGTGAGAGAACGGAAAAGCAGTGGGTAAACTTGCTCACTCTATCGGGATTGAAACTTCGAAAAATTCATCATGGTTCCGGGACAAATTATGCTGCAGTCGAGGCAGTTTTAGCGTAAATATCTTTGGGAATTCGGATGTTTAGAGTAATCAGTCAAAGGAGCTGCCAATAGAAAAGCGGGTGGCATATAATATGGGGTATAAAATACAAGAACCTATGCAGACTCTAAGTATGTTCCTGCAAGCCAAACAAGTGAACATCCTGCTAAAGCCCATGCGCCCACAGCTTTCTTGCCCCACCAAGAGTTATCTGCTTCAACTTTCGCAGCACGTATTTTGCGAGTCGGGTGATTTCCTGAAAGTGATGCAGAGGACGTGGAATTCTTTTCCGCTGCTTCAGTTCGTTCACGCAGCTCAGCAATCTTCTTACCTAGTGAAAGTAGGTCCTCTTTCCATTCCGTGTCGTTTGCAATTTTGTCAACTTCCACATTTTGAACATTTCCGAAGAAATCCATCAGTAGTCTTTCTCTACCTCCTTGCTCTCCACCTGGGAATAGATCCCATCTGACACCTGGATGCGAATGAATTTTGGATTCATCATAACTATCAAACAGATCGCCCAACGTCTTCTTACTTCCAGCTTCTCGAACCTGAGTTTCAAGGAAGTCTAGATTGTAATATGTGTATCGATCAATAACTGCTACCCCAACATCATTATCAGCATGATGGGAGTATGACGATTGATCAATTTCTGAAGAGCCCGTCGCAATGATATTGGGAGAGTAAAATTTGCTGTACATAGTATTCGCTTGGCAAGTATCGATCATGAAGAGCAATTCATGGTACCTTTGGAATTATAATTAGTATATGCTTTATTCCGAGGTCGAAGTCTAACAAACCTCTTTTTCTCCCACATCTGCTCAAACGCATCTGCCAAATCAAATGCGCTAATTTCCTCTGCGTCTTGGAATTTCAGGAACTCGTTACCACCATGACCTGTCATATAAACCAAAATATTGCTTCGATCGTCCGTCAAAAGCCTCTTACTCCTCGGCATCTCTTCACCAACTCTATCTGTCAGCAGTCGAATAAAGTTCTCTACTGTAACCTCGTATCCTCTGTAATCCACCTCGATATTGTCTCCGTATAAGTCCACCGCGCGATCGGCGTTACTATAGACTGTGCCAGGAAAGGCATTCCGAGGATTGCATGCCATATCGTCGGGTAACATAAGAATGATTTGAGAGTCTGGAATTCCTAGCCGTTTGACGGTACGATAGAGGGAGAGAACATTCGCCAAATGCCGATAATTAAACCAGAATCGCGAAGTCGATACGAGGACTGCCCAATTGCTTGTATGTTCTGCGGTTGCAAGTAAAGGTGCGAATAGAGGCGCAAACACCAGGGGAAGGTGGATGAAGTTGGATAACCTCATGGTGCAATATGTTCCAATTTTGGAAGGGATATATTTTAGGATTCTCTTTTATACTTTGACTACTTGTCAAACTTGTCAAACCTTTTGTACACTCAATGTGATCTTCTTGGATTCATTTCTTCGAAGTCAGTTGGAAGGGCACAGGCGCAGCAAAGAGCTTACCAATCGTCAGAGCTCCCCCTGGGCGCGTCAGCACGTTCGCAATTACGTTCCTGAAAATTGATGCCTCATGCCTCATGTCTCAGATTACTTTTTGCCATGAATTTAAGGCTGGAAGCCATCACATGCTCTGACATGCCCCGCCCCGCGCGACCCGCGTTTCAAACAATTCTCAGACACTTGAGTTATTTCCAAGGTAATTTTGCACTAAGTATTTGCTGTGCATCGACGGCTCATTTTTAAAATCCCTTCGACAATCACCTCAACGAGCCATTTTTACTATTGACCGTATGCTCTGCTGTCGAAGATTTCTCAGCAAATAACAATGGGTAGGCCGCCGGCTGTTATCATTGTTGTCAGGTAAGAGATCTCTAAAGGTCCAAATTTCATCATCACCAAATTGGTTTTTCTTTTTCTAGTCGTGTAAACAAATGTTTAACATTGCCGTTTCATGTGCTGTCCTCACAAAAGACGCTTTTGCTGGCAGTAATATCTAATCCTTCACACAGACATGGTGCTCGCCTCGATCAAGCTGATAATCAGTGGTACCTCACAACTCCGACTCCATACGATCCGCCTCTTACATATGGTGGATGGTCGCAATCAAGAGCTCTCGGTGCCCGTATAGCTAACATCCTACGAACCCGCGAGACGGATGATGAGTTTGTTGGTCGAGATGTTCAAAATGGAGGTAAAAATAGAAAGAGAAGGCACAAAGTTATTATACACACCTCGCCATTTTTGCGCTGCGTCCAGACATCAGTTGCCATAAGTTCTGGCCTTGCACAAAACCCGGGTCACACACATCACCCTCAACGATCTCCCTCCACACATTCCCAGCACAAAAGTTCGCAGATGCACTCGTCACCCAGAGTCCGTCCGACTACATCAACAGACTCGCCTAGACTAGCCCCACTCCTGGAGACTACAACTATTGCGTCGAGTTCGAGTAACAAGATCATCGGACAAACTGAAAACATAAAAAAATCGATAGTACGAGTTGATGCATTTCTCGGAGAATGGCTCGCTCCCGATTACTTCGAACATATCACTCCGCCTCCAAGCTCTATTATGATGGTAGCCGGTGCTAAAGCCGATTTGTTACGAAGAGAGGATCACAATAGCTTGATACATGTGCGAGACTTTTCCGCCCAAGGTTCATCCTTTCAACCATTTCCAGGTGGATGGGGAAGTCCTATTACAGCTGAGAAAAAAGAGTTTCCATCAGTGTCGAGTTTGAGCCATGCGCTGCCCAGAAGAGATCGAACGAGCAGTTTGAGTAGCGTGGGAAGTGATGGAAATCGTCAAGGCTTGAAGGCCGATGGTCATCTGCCCACTTCTGAACATGGCATTTATCAACCACCTGTTCCGAGTTATGCAATTTCTACGTCTGATCCTATACCACCTGGATATGCTACGCACGCTAGAGATGCATGTGTTGATGTTGATTATCAATGGGACAGTATGCGCGAGCCTTTGAGTTGGGGAAATGGTGGCGAATATGGTGAAGAATGGCCCTCGATGCATAAAAGATTTCGCAAAGGCCTCCACAGCATGTTAGATTGGTATAATACCAGTGAGAATTTTGATAGAATGGCAACCAAGACTCCTTCTAGTCCAGAGCTTGAAAAGCACTTTTCCATTGACGAAGATCAGGAAGATGAGGATACGGACTTGGTTCTTATCCTGGTCACTCATGGCGCTGGATGCAATGCCCTCATTGGTGCCTTGACTAACCAACCACTCTTGATGGACGTCGGGATGGCATCATTAACTATGGCCGTCCGAAAACCTACTCCAGAAGAGACCCCGCTTCCTCCCCCGGTGCAACATCCAAGGCACATTCTCGTACAAATTCGAAGAATTCATTAATCGCAAACGAATATGATATAAAACTATTAGCAAATACAGAGCACCTTCGATCTACTCCGAATAGTACTGCCTCTTCCCGCAATCCTTCTATTGCAAATCTGTCTACATTCCGCGAACGTCAACCTGCAGATCCAAACCGTTCCACGACTGTAAACTCCAGTCTAGGCAGTATCAGAAGAACAGCAAGCATAGCGAGTTCTCAGCCTCGCACGTTTACACCGGCCAGGCAATCATCTATTGGGCTTTGGAGCGCCACTCCTCCGCTTAGGGAATCCGTCGATGAAAACGATGACACGGATGGTGATAGCATGATATTGAATTTTGGAGATGATGGAACAAACGCAAAAACGCTAGTCCCATCGACATCGGCCGTTGAAGAAGACAATAAAGCAACCGTGGCGAAAAACCAAGAGATAGAAATAAGTGCAGTAGAGGAAGATGAAGTTGCTCCCTTGGGATTATGGGGTTCGCCAAGATTACAAGCAAGTTCGGGCCCAGCTGTAGATCCTGGACATGCGCCAAAGAGAAGGTGGACGGTTAACGAAAGATCATGATTGTCTACTGACACCAAGGAACGAGGTGATTCAATATGCCAATGGCGAGAAAGAAGAAAAGAGAAATATCACCCGGGAATTGACTGTACCAAAGTATGGATGGATAGCTCTTCTTGCACCTAGGGTAGGGTAGGGTACGGATGGATGGATGGGTGGAAGAATAGACTTTTGTGAACTTTTATCAGTTGATCCTTTTTATTGGAGCGTGGCGTGGGCGTACGGTGTTCAATAGGTCTAAATGGGACAAACCAAAAGTATGCACGGATATGATGACATGGCCAATCCAAACGATTTTCTGTAAACCAGAGCTTGCAAATGGTCTGAGGAATGACATGCTGGGAACATCGAATGTATGGTTTTGGTCATTGCAGATGTTAATTAGGATAAGGATCACTAGTATAGCATCGGACGCAGGGTTATCTTTTTGATCGAATTTTATTCCACTCAAATTTATATTATGATTATCATTATTAATACTATTATGCCACCCCAGGTCAATCTGAGGGAATGAATGTGAGATGCCACCACCGTTGAACAAACACTTTCTGTGACTATCAGATGTTACGTAGAAGGTCAAAATCATGTCAGAGTTGAATATCTTAGGCAAAAAGACTTATTTCCCGAGTTTTGACAGACGGCAACAACCATTCACCAACTCAGTTAAGTTCTGGCAAATATCTATAATAATGATTAGCGGAAGTCCATTCGAGAATTCAAATCATGTTAAAAGAGGTAATGTATCCCATTGCTCATTCTCAAAAGTGGTTTGTTCCTCATCAACGACCCGAAGGCTATATGAGTGGTGCATGAAACTCGTGTCTAATCATTGCGGGGTGGTATGGAAAGTCAAAATAAAGTTTGAGGAAAACGTACTGTGTCTGGAAAATGGTCCGGTCTTTGCATATCGCGATTAAGACAACGTATGGTGAAGCTTGTGTTGACGTTCTTCCCCCACTGAAGTACGCAGTCCGATTCAAAGATCTCATCAAAATGATGTGAAACGATATGGATGGTCGAGATTTTGGGAAAGTCATCGAGATTTTTCAACAAGCAATAATGACACACAGGTGATGAGCTGTCACCATGATCTAAGAGAAGATTGTTAGCTGCATTCAACTTAAGTACGAATAATTGACATGAAGTGTAGCTAAACAATCAGAGAGGCTCGCATGCGTAATATTTGTAACCATGTATTTTGTCTTCAAGACTAATCGATTTTTTACCATCATCATAAAGTTTCGTATCAAAATGTGCAAAGAAGAAAAGAGCACCGAACTTACCAAAGCTTACAATGACCCTCAATCATCATCGTCATCAAACTCATCCAGTTGGAATACCTTTGGTCTCTCGGCGCCGACGCCTGCGCCTGCGCCTGCACCAGCACTCATAGCAGCATTCCTTCTCTCCATATCCGCTCTATGTTTCTCCTCTTCTTTCACTCTTTGTGCCTCTTTCTCCCTCTCTAACTCTTCAGCTTTCTCAATCTTCTTTTGCTCTTCAAGCTCGGGATCCCATCCTTCAGGATCGATCCCACCATCAAGCAACGCTTGGATATTTGCTAATGCGCCCCCTCTGATATCCTCTTCACGAGCCCATGGCTGGAATGGACGGTCATCGAGCTTCGTGTTAAGAGCCTGTACAATCTCTGCATCAAGGGCCGTTTGCGACTGAGAAGGCTGTTGTGATGCTTGGTCTTGACTTGCAGCGGGCGGATTGGATCCATTAGGAGCCACGGAAGGGACATTTGTATCCATAGTGCTTCCATTCGCTCCGTTACCAGTCACAGTAACACTGGGTGTAGTACTTCCATTTGTCGCAATTTCTTCTTGCTTTGGTGATGATGCTTCAGGTTTAGAAGATCGAGTCTCTGGCGGAGCTGTGTATTTAGAAATTCTTCGCGCATAGCTAAGAAGTTCTTCATACTCCACTGGATTCTTGCTCTCTGGATATTCAGAGGATGGGGTGTTGAGAAGTTCACTTCGTGTGCTGGTAAGAAGGATAAGAAAGTCGCGAATTTTCGTATCGAGGGCTGCAGAGGTTGCATGGAGAGTATCAAGCGTATGGGTATTCTGCTGATGTTGGTTTACTGTGAAGAGATTGTTAATAAATAGGGTCAAATGGAAGATGCTACAAGTGCGGAATAGGTATGGAAGACTAGACGTACAAAGTGATAACCCATCATTAAGCTCTTGATCCGCAAGAACAAGATCTTGAGCTAAAGCAGGTACGGGACTGTACTTGGAGATTGAAGCTATGAGATTGACAAGAGCCTTTTCAACTCGATCGAACCGTGCATCAATTATTTTGTCCATCTTTGATTGTTTCAAATTGGGGAGGTGGGAGGTGAGAGGAGGGTTGTTGTGTGTTTATGACATGTTTGTGCTAGTATCGATATCCTATAAATAGGAAGTCGAAGGATGGAAGCGATATGAAGCCGTTCCGAATAATATTGATTGTTGCACACCTAATAGATGTGAATCAATCAAAGAATTAGGAAAAAGCTTGAGAGAAAAAGTAGGATTAATAGAAAGAATAAATGAAGAATTTCAAAGACTTTCTTCTATTTATACAACGAAATTTTTCGGGATCTCTGAGGAAGAAAAAATAAGCGCAGTCCCCACCATAACCCAAGCGCTAGGTTAAATAACAGTACCATTATCACATGATCTTCAAGTTGCGCTGAAGACTTCCTTTTTTGAACAATTAAAAAAGTCCTCACAAACCACGTCTTCTTCCACGATACACGACATGGTAATACAATGATCCCAAGAGATGGTGCTGGAACCGGCAAGGAGTACTGATTTATTCTGCAGTAAGGGCTCATGGCAGCAGAAAGTATTGCTATCCAAAACAAGGAGAATATTCTTTTGGTGGCACATCAAGGTTGACAGAATTAGATGATCCAGAGTATTGATTTGTGGAGAAGATAATGTCGCGTTCAAATACTTGCATTTTGTTCAAGTCATTACAAAACCTTGGAAAGTTTTCAAGCTTAAGGGAGATACAATTGATATCAATCCCTCAAACGGCCGAATGCTATGCTATGCTCGGCGAACCGACCACCTACTTTGATTTGACGACTCACGGGATATAGCTACTGAATCAAAGAAACGAATATTTCTTCATTGGCGATATTGAGCTGATTACGTAGGGGAAATTTTATAGCTTGAAGGAATTATCTACGCCGATACTTTGTGTAGATACCGGTGGCAACAGCATCCGCAAATCCATTGGTGAAATTCGCCGAAATATTGCATTTTTCCTTAAAGTATTAAGTAGGCACCCAGTACTCTCAAATTCCGTAGCGGTGTACGGAGCGCCACGAGCGAATCGACCATGTTTTTAGTAGCTGGTCTGCTAAAGCCAGGTCTGCACCCTACGGTTAACTAGTCGTTTTGGATTTGACTATTTCATGTGATTTCTGAAAGATTGTCGTCTCCATTAGATAGGGGCTCGATTCGCCTTTTGCAAGTGCCGGATTTCTCCTCTGAAGTCACTCAAGTGGTTCATTGTTGTTTAAAAACGTTTCGTGGGCCGTTATCAATGGAGGAGAGTCCTTTGAATTGAGACATGCCGATGCAATATAATGTTTCCTTTGATGATGAGGTTTGTTCATTCCGAATGACAGGACGGTGTTCGTGTGGTGATTATCAAGCTTTGTAAGGGATGAGTACATGTTTTCAAATGTTCAAGTAACCACCATTAAGAACGTGTTCAAGACAGTGTTCAATTGGGAATTCTGAATTTAAAAAAAGCAAGTTGGATGCAAGATTCATAGAAAGTTTTCTTTCCAAATCCGAATTGTCATCTGACTCAAGAGAATTGATGCACAGGTATATATAATTTTGAACGGCAACTTTTTTCTAGCTTGTGGGGCATAAGACTAATAGCATTTGACAAATTCACATTCACATACCACATTAGTTTTGGTGAACTGTCCTAGTGAATTTTTGAGGTTGGTTGGCCACCAAATAAGCTTGGAATCAAGTTTAAGAATATGTTCATCGTGTAAGATAGCCAAGCTACCGATGCCCGTCAAGGTTAGATATTATAATTGTGTCCTTATGTTACTTCAATCTTGAAGATATTTCTTGGACTACAACTATTCAGATCATAATCAAATACAATTTCATTCCATAATTACCGGCTAGGATTGAATCATATCTAAGCATTCCCAGCCATTCGTCGACGTTTCATCCATAGGGAGTTATTTTCACTCTAAGAATCGATACATTAAATCATACTACAGAGTCTATTTCGAAGGCCACTCTTTACATTCTACAAAATTGAGAATAAAGCAAAGTCGTAAGAGTTCAATCTATTCGTAAGAGGATCCATGCGCACCGAGTTTAAGTCTCACCTATATCCTTCGCCATTTTCTCCTATTAATCTTTGGGTACAAATATCTCGCCTAATCTCGCAAATTCCAGGAGGTTTTGAGTAGGATGGATGAAAGTGGACGTACGATCGAATGAATGTATGCCACCCGTCGTACTAACGGAAATAACTTAAGCATTCTTCTTCTCTTTCACCAAATTCCCGCACTTGCATAATAACTGTAATATTTCTCTATAGCTTACTATATCGTTTAACATTAGACGCTTTCGTGAGCTATTTGCTTTGCAGCTCTTGTTGAAGCTGGTCACAACCAATTTGCTCCTGGCAAAAAGCGCATGTATTAAGTTAGTTACTCAGATCGAGAGTATTAGCTGCTTCCAAATATCCATGGTACCGACTGCTCAGCTCTTTAATTATAAGATTCCAGGAATTCACACAACACAGAAGTCACACTTGAAATTCATCAAAACATAATTTAGAGAACTGTCATCAAAATTCGACATAGTCAATCACACTCAGTGTAACTTTGGCAAAGCAATTCAACCACTATTAAATATTCGTTCTGAAACAATCAAAGACAAGAAATGAGAGATCTGGGGAATTATTTATTATTTTCTATTATTCAATGTGTTTGCTTGACTTTAGGCTGACCACCAACTGTGCTAAGGGAGAAAGCAAAGCAGGGGCAATGAACTACGCATCATGACTCATCTTCGTTTGGATTGGATGGAGTATTCCCGCTATCGCCGCTCCCATCATTGCCTCCTTCGTCTTGGTCAGCTTCATTCTCATCTGCAGATTCAGAGTTACTTGTAGTTGGCTCTGATTCTTTGGATCCATCCTTTCCCAGACGCGCTGCAACTCTTGCCTCGTGTTCCTCAGCATCCTTCGCGAGCCTGATGAGACGAGCACGAGCCCACTTGAGGGACTTTTCTTGACGTGCTGTGTCATCTTTAATCCTCTGTTCAAAAGTATTTTTGTCAATTACCATGTTGGCACAATAGTAATAGGCTTGAGCTGGGCAGCCGAGCCACATGAGGAAGTCAATCGTACTAAGATCCCCTTCACCAAATCCAATCGGCTTTGCGATATCTTGTCGTAGTTGCGCCAACAATTCATCATGTTTGGCAAAACATGCTTTTTCCACCAACTTAACACATACATGTATCCAGTTGAGAATAGCTCCAGGATCAAGAGAGCCTTGATGGTGTCGAAATTCAATGGTGCGTATTCCATCTTGGTAAGGAGTTTTTAGACCTTCTAAGTTGAACGCGAGGCGACCTGCCGTTAATGACTCACCAAAATCTTCAATCAATGACTCATTATCGGTGTATCCTAGGATCTTTTCAACAACTTCGACTCTTGTGAGGTCAGGATTCGCCATACCAAAACGACCTTTTGAAAAAGGGGGGCACCATTCACCTGATACACGATCTGATGAAAAGATCAATTCTGTTTGTCGTTCATATGTGTACGCAATAGCTAAAATGTGTTGAAGTATTAGGAAATGAAAACCGTTGAACGAGTTACCTACGTGAACATGTAAGCCTGCGGTCTCATCAACACATACCCTATAATTTTCTCTTACCGTTTTTAACACTTTTCTGATCGCATTCCGAGCAGGTTCAGTATAATAATAAGGAGGGGAAGTCATCTCCATTCCATTTCTATGGTAGATCTTACTCTTATTTTCAGCAGGCCTGAGAGTGTTATCGCCAACAGTTGTATCCTCTTTCAAAATCCAACATGTTATGGACTCCTCATCTGTCATATCACTACTCGTAATGACTGCTGGTATACCAACACCCGTCAACTTCTTGAGGATATCGCGATTGATAGCTTCTTTATCAGGAAATTTCTTGCCATCTACCTCGCGAGGATCTTCAGGATGGGGATCAGGCTTATCTGCATCCACTGTAGCGAAAATATATTCGAGTTCGAGACCGAATGTAAGGTTACTTTCACCCTTTCCTGGAATAGCGTCTGAAATGGTATCTTGTGACATTTTATTTGGAATAGATTTTGATCTGTTGGTTGATGTGTATTAGGGCTGATTAGAAACAGTAATAAGGTTGGTGAATCCACTTCCGCAACTCGATGAGCATTTAAGTAAGTTAACAAAGGCATTGTTTTGTGGTACTTATATAATTCAAAGGAAATTAGAGGTTTCCTTCATAGATTTATGATAATGCTTTGTTCATTATTTGTTCTCGGATAAAGGTATGGATGCCTCAACTGCAAATACAGTATCGTAATTGCTAGTAATACTGTGACTGACATTGAGATTTTGATATGCACTATGATATATACCCTGGTTAATGATATGAACAATTCTTGGCGTTATAAGGAAGAGATAGTGCCAAAGATATAATAATATATTGGAATTTGATATAGTTACTGAAGAACGTAGAAATTCAGTCATCGTCATAATTCTGAGCTCTGATGTTTAGATTTTGGAGATGTCTTCTCACACATTGATGAGTTATTCTGGCATCGTTTACCTTCCTCACACGGATCCATGGCAGATGTTACCTCAATATTTATAAGTTTTCAATCATATAATCATGGCTTCCGCCAAAAAAAAGATTTGATAGAGCTGATCCAGTGGATACACAAACTAACACCACACTCACTCAGCTACCAGAAGTCGCCTTTTTTTCAATGGGTCACTTGCATTTTCAGCAGGTGTGTTTTACAATTCCGAAATCCTAATACCATAATTCAACTTCTCATAGCGACTTTATGTTCTGGGATAGCTTTTCTGATCGGCTTTCGAGAAGCCTAAAAAGAATAAGTAACTATGCCATGTAAATGTCATCTCCATCTGAGATGGACTCGTGGACAGGGATATTATTGATGGAACTACTTTGGAGACTGATGTGTGCGATCCGGAGACGGGAAAGTAACTCGTTGGAAATCCAGACGAAACACATTAGTAGGAAGTGGGCAGAACAATGACAATAAAGCGATTCCAAGGCTTAGGAAAGATGCCATATAAATATTGGACAGAGCGCTACAAAACTTTGTAGTTTATATTCATGACAAATAGAAATCAACATGCTAATATCCTATGAAATGGCCCAAAAGCTTTGGTACAATCGCTTCGTCACTTTATAGTTCTACAACACAAGCCGAAGAATAATGGTGTAACTTTTAAATCTCGAGTACCATATACGGACACACTACACACTTCATCAGTTTCACTCAAAACACGAGGCAAAATATCACATATCACTTATATTCTTCAAATATCAAAGAATTGCTACAAAACATTAGTATGATTTTACCACGGCTCTCGACTGCCAGGATAACATATTAATAATAATAATGATAATCTGCTTGCTCTGTAAAGAATAATACAAGCTCTCTCACTTATATACCAGAGTCAGGTTGAATTACATTATCAGCTGAAGCATAGGAATTCCAAGCAGCACACGTTGAATTCAATAAGTCGCCGTCCAAGAGATCAACTAGCTCACTCTCTCTTTCAAGAATTTGGACTGCCAATCCTTCTGAAGTATGCCAAGCAATATGACAATGCATAATCCACGCCTGAGTGGTGAGAAATAATGTTAGTGATCTGAATTTTCGAAGTAAAGAATCTGCACATATGAATTTATAAACTTACTCCTGGATTATCTGTGTAGAAAGCCATCACTACCCATCCAGAACCTGGTAAAAGCACGACATCCCTTCGTGGTGCATTGACTAATGTCAAATTGGCCGTTGTCGAATCGTAAGTTCCAGTACCTTGGCCCAAAACCCAAAAATCGTGTCCATGGAGGTGCATGGGGTGTGATTGGGCATTTGTTGTTTCAATTATCCAATAAACCCAAACATTAGCTACTGGTAACTGATAAACTTCTTGTTCTGGTGCCCATGTATCATTGCCTTCGTAAGACTGTAATAGTGTCGGATAATCCCACTGATTAAGGAAAGAATGAGTTCCCATTTGCCAAATTACACCGTTAGTTTTGTTGATGATAACAGAGAATTCATCCTCTTCTGCCGGAGAATCCGATGCTACAATTGGTACGTATGGAACAAGAGAAGTCATGAGTTCATCCTCACAAAGTTCGTCAGTTGAAGCATTTGCCCAACGAACAGAAGTTGGATCATCAGTAGAAGTGCTGTCATACCTGACAATACCATAAATATTATCCGCATTGACGTTTTTACTACAGACAGTTTGAGCAACTGCCCTCATCCAATAATTATCAACTGCTGCATTCGCAGTGACAATGATATCATATCTTTGTCCCATACTGATGGCAATGGTATCAGAAGTATACGGTACAATTGGAACAAAGTCAGCCGCAATCACCTCCATGGTATGATTGTCGATGCTAAATTTGAAATGCGTGTCGGCTGCAGTATTGACAAGCCGAATTCGATATCGAGTTCCACTCTTGAAAGTTGTTTCGAAACGCGAACCAACGATGGTACCAGAGTTGTTGTAGGTATTTGTACCATTGATGAGTCCGTTGTCGAGTGTTGGAGGTGCAGCTAGCGCCGCAACAGCCTCAACTTCCGCTGTTACGTGAGACCAATCACTAAGAGTTAAAGTGCCCAAATCTTCATCGTAATTGGCTGTCGCAGGGCCATTGATCTGTATACCACCAAAGATGCCATCCCAAGCCTGTACATAGAAGTGGGAATGATACCATGATGATCCGTACTGGGTTGCCTTCCAAGTATAAGTGAAAGATGTTCCAGGGGCGATGGGACATTGCGTTATTGATGGAACTCCGTCCATTTGATTGGTGTAGTTTTGACGAATCCCATGGAAATGAATACCCGTACCATAGTTTGGCATTGAATTTTTGACGTGTATCACTTCATAAAGTTAACTAATTGATCGTATTCCAGTTGATTTGCTAGAGGGGATAAACTTACCAATTGTATCTCCCCAGTCGGCGATTATAGTCGGACCAGGCACACTTCCATTAACAGATAGAATTACACGCTCAATTCCATCCGGAGCTGCAGTTGTGTTGACTATATCCCACCAATATTCTCTGACGACACCTGTGTCTGGCCCATCATTGTAATAGTTGGTGGATATATCATAGTCTCCCCAACATGAACGATCATCCGCAGAATTCACACATCTCTTGGTGAGAGATGACTCTCCATATTTTGGAGCTGCAAGAACAAATGGTACGAGGATCAATACCCGAAGGAGAACAGGTAAGTGCATTGCAGGAAAGGAGCACGAAGCGAAAGAGAAAGTGAACGATTTCGTCAAAATATTGAAAACAAAACTTTAATGCATTTCATATATGAAGAAAACAAGGCAATGCAGATTGGCATCAGGTGAGGCTTTTCCTGCTTCCTTTTCCATAAGTCAGACAAGTATAACCGTATTGATATCAAATTATCAACTGGCGCTGCATGAGCAGGCTCTACATGCAGTCTACTAACGCATCTAATATCTGATAAAATTCTAGACTCTATATCTTGTATCCCGGCAGTTAAGGGTGACAAGAGAGCTGGCGTTCGACCTAAAGTGAGAGTGGGATGACAGGAACTGCGTTAAACTTAACTGAACACAATCATGACCATTTCAAGCCGATTTTTGCACCAGCCTATGATTTGATACTGCTTATCTTGAACCTGTGTAGATTCCAATATTCCCATGCTAGGCTAGCCTCCCAAAGAGTTTCGATGATGCTCGGATTGCACTCGGATCTCGGAGGTTTTCTTTTGTATTTGCATATCCAACTCGAAGCCATAGCCAGAAGAAAGTTAGCCCGAGAGCTATGCAACGGCGAATCACGTAATGATGGAAGCCATTCAGGCAGTTTGTGCCACTACTTTGCATTAGATTTAGAGGCTGAGAATCAATTTTAGTAAGCTGCATACAATCCGCATAAACCTTCCTTGAATAATCGGAAGGAGGCGTTCGAGGCGTTGTAGGAATAATGCTTGAGTCAAAGTTCATGCATCCATGTACTATCGTCTCCTACTGCATTTTCCATAGGTTTGCATATTTGCAATTCGAATACTCGAATCATTGGCTCAGTGATTCTTTATCGGTGCAGGCCATGTTTATGTTAATTAGAGAAGTCCGAGCATTTACTAGATCCCAATTTGTGGAAAGACTTCAGATTTAATATGTTCGACAAGATTGCTCAGAGATAAGGATTGTTGAATAAGTCCTTCTCACTTAAGAAAGCCAGTCTGTATGTATAAGGAGCCACTTACTCCATGGATGCGATTTGAAATTTCATGCCATGTGCGACTAATGATATGTTTACTTTAAGCTTAAGCATACCTCACACGTGAAGTCATACTTTCAGCCACTGATCTGAGATATATCTATGATACCTGATCGTTTAGTCATATCGGATAGTGTACAGGATTACTACGCGCACTGGAATCACTACAAGATACATACTTATATTGCGTTCCTTATGCAGCTCAAGAAGTGGGCTATACATGAGAAATTTATATAAACCTGGCAGCTAGCCACGTACCACAGGGGCGTCAATGCATTTGGTAAATCCCAAAAATTCTCATCCTGCTTTTGTGGAGCTCTATCTCTTGAACAAAATCCAATGTACGAAGACGCAGGGAAATTTTGCGGATACACATTTTGTGAGATCTGTAATCTGGGGGGTCTCAGCCACCCGCAGGCCGTTATATATGCTGGATAGGTTATTTGCCTTCGCTGCAGCCCCACCTCGGTAAACTGCGAACACCCCACTTATTAGTCTCTTATTGCCTTTTTGCATGCATGGACGGATGTCAATTCCCGACTACGGAAAAATATTGAAGTTCGCTTTGCCATGAGTGATCCTGCATAAACTATTGATGATATGTATAGTGCAAATTGTGGACGCGTCAGCTGTACAATATATACTTCGGGACCGACGGAATATTATTCATGATTTGGAAGTTTTCAATATAACTCAAGAAATTACCCCTCATCTCTCGAATTGTTGTTGGAACATCTGCAAAACTTGAATGTTATTAACATGTAGACAATTGTTGAAAGGTTCACTTGCTTCGTGCTTCTAGAAGCTGAAGTTGCAAAATTTATAGATCTACTGAAGCAGCAAATGAATTGGGTAGTGGGATTGTTGTACACTGACTGACAACAAAGATGATGACAGAAAGGATTCATTGGATCAATTCTATTTTGATAATGTATTTTCCAATCTACCGAGAGCTAGGTTCTTTTTCGCCAATGATGCCTATTCGAAACTGAAAAGGGAACCATCGCATTAATATTATCGAATTCACATTAGATTTCCCATAATTAGGTACGAGACAAATCAACGGCCTCACCTCTGGATTCCACCAAGAAAGGTTTGATCGTTCCCCCAACCCAGATCCTGCAGAGCCGGTAGAGAAAGGAGTGCATGTGACCGTAGTCTAGTATATTTTTTGGCGCGAAAGTGATAGATAGATGGAGACGAGTAATGAAAGAAAATCAGCTCGCCAATGCAGCATTTCGAAAGATGGGCCGACGAACAACAACGAATCAAGATGCCAATTTGATGGAATGCACAGTATTGTGGAGCTTGACTCCAAGCAATGCAGACGATTAACAATCTTTTTGATGCAAGTCGTCCCAGGATGAGTCCTTCGATTTTGAAGTACCTTTAGAGAATAATGACTCCTTGTAGTCCCCAAAATTAATAAATTGAGGGGTTGATGAGTGTTCTGACGGGCGTCCTTCAGAAGGTGGAGATAGGTTCGCGGCTGTCAGAAAAGTCGAACACCAAGCACGCGAAAACGAAGGAAAGTCGAAATTGGCTCTCCTTAAAAATTGATCACGCCTTGACTTGAAAATTTTGAACATTTTCTAATTGAAAAGAAGAAATGATTATTGGTGGAGTTATCAAAATTTAGAATTTCAAAAGAGAGATTGCGCTGTTATTCTGATATTGAATTTTGATTGAGGTTTAGAATTTTGGTGTTTGGATTTTTCTGACAGTGACCCTTGGTAAGATTCATTGATGTACTGGACAATAACTGAGACCAACTATAGAACTCAACTCTCGACTGAGAAAGAAATAGCTTTATACATCACGAAGATAAGGAACAGACTAAGAATGAGATAGCTGCGCAAGAGTAAAAAAATGTGAATAGGTGTTGACTAGCGACGACTTGCCACCGTAGATGATGCAAATGTGCGACCTGGCTTTGAAAGCTGTTCTTGAAAATCTTTAGATTCAATATTGATGATTCCTTACTGAAAGTTAGCTAGCTCAAGAAGAGGGTGAATAACATTCGAGAAAGTTCTCCCGATCATGATAGGTTCGAGTGACTTCGTATTAAAGAGGATACAGAACGAAGGACGCCTTCGAGTATTAAGTCGGAGACTCTTAAGCATTTTGATTCATTGAAAATGCTATTTACCACTTGGATACGATCAAAACAAATTGCCAAAGTTTCGCCTTGTCTATGATTATTTAAGCTGACATTGGCTTTACAGAATCACGTGATTGTCGCGCATTTCGCTTTGGAAACGCGCCATCCTCCATTCAATCCCAACTTGCAATTCTTCTCGATCACAACGCTCTGTACTTGTTATGAACCAAAATTTTCATCATGCCAAAAGATACAAAGACGCACAGTACAAGTTCTCGTAAGAATCCTGTCGATAAAACAAAACAATCTATCAAAGTTTGAAAACAAACTCAAGCAGCATCAAAATAACCCGCGGGAGAAGCAATAGAACCCACTGAACCAATTGCTGAAGTCACGACTCCCAAATATACAATGCTCCAAACGTAATGTTCTCCTACATACTCCATCAATTTATCATAATCTCATTGATACCAGGATATTGCCCACAATTATCTTCTACTGGTTTGCCTCACTAGCAGTGATGATCCCACCATTACAGAACTTCTCTCTGTGCCCGCGACCTATTCATACCTTCAACTTCATCAAATTATAAAAATCGCATTTGAGTAGGTGGGGTGTCATGAATCTCACTTTACTGGCTAAAAGACGGCTGAAGGTGACCTCGATGTATATATAGGATTCATCTCATTGACCTTGCCCTCGAGGTTCCACTTTATTGATTGTGATAGTTGCTTAACAATGCGCGATCGTACATACAAGAAGGGTGGTCCCCAAGGGGAAAGGCAGTTCTGAGCATGAAGATACATGAGGATCGAATTGGAATCATGTTCGATGTTTTTGATGGTCCCGATACGTGAAGGCATGTGTCGATTGCCCACTGAAGAACGCTTACGAAAATGAGAAATACGGAAGTTTAGAAATGGAGTATGAGTCTGAGTATGACCATGGTGATAGCTGGATACAAGACATCACAATTCTAGGAAAAGAGCTTCAGAATGTAAGAAACGATATGGCTATACCTCCTCAATTGAAGGTTGTCTGCATGGCGAGCGAGCTTTGTTCCTTCGACGCCCTTTGGTAGTTTGTGATAATTGAGTATAGGAAATCCATGTGCTGAGAATTTTGGTGGTGAATCTGACTGGGAAGACTGCAAGTGCGTATTCAAGGGGAAGAAGGCCGATTCCTCTAAAGATTGGTACAAGACCTCATGTACCAACAAAGATTCCAAGGGATTAGATCCATATAAATGAAATATGATGAAAGTCAATTAGGCTTTGTATGAGCAGTTTGGTATCCAAATTACTCCGGAACATGTTCGTGGCCATATATCACTATTTCTTTCAATGTTTCTAGACAATTGTAGAGTTCGAGGATGAAGACCATTGCGGCTGATTTTAAAATGTTCAAATAACCAGGGTTCAAGTCGGCCATCAATTAGTCAGACAGTCATCGATAAAATCCAATGGCCTCTCCGGGTTTTCACATTTCCTCCGCTCTTTCTTTTATCGCTCTCATCCTTTCTGTTGTAAATGCATCTGCTTTCTCCGCTCTTATCTCTTCAACGGGGTATATGAGTCGAACAATATTCTTTGAGCCAAGTCTAATGATTCCAAATCGATTAGTGAAGCCAACTGAACACGATAAACTCCCATCCATTTCATTTTTTTGGTTGTGAGTTGCTACTTACGTGAAGTATGCACCACCTTGTCTCACAGTCTCCCAGATTACATCCTGAAATTGCTCATCCGCATCCTCCCGTCAAATTCTTCCGTTTGGAATCGATGAACAAGCCACAATATAAAGGTCTCTATGTCTAGGTCTCTGCACTCACCACAGTATTCATAAAGCGCTTCTTGGACCGCTTCATCCGACATCAGATTGTCCAGAGTTTCCATGTCTTCTTCGTCTGGTTCGCCAATTGGTGATCGGCAAGATACAGAATCAGGCCTACCTATTGGAGGTGGCCAACCTGTTGCAATACGTTTCACAATCCCGAAGCCAGGGAATGGTTCCCATCTATGAATATTGAAATTAGCTACAATTGGTTTTGTTCATAAACCGTTGACATGTAGCGCTTAACGAATATCGAAACTCACAAAAGTAATTATCGTTTCTCATTAGCAAAGCCTAAAAAGTTCCGGAACTCTAAAGATGTGAGGTTGATACCTCCATGAACTCTGATGTACCGAAAAAGTGTTGGTTCCGATAAAAGTTCCATAGTATCTAATGCTAAGTCCAATGGTCCACGATTGCTAAATAAATTTTCAGTAATGTCATTCCACCTTGGACATGAGTGAGTCACTATCGGAGGTTTTATGTTGAGATAGTCTACTGGATCATGACTTCCTGTCTCAAAACCATGCTGTTTACTGATTCTCGTCAATACGTTGTTCGCGACTATAAATCTTTCGATCTACCTCCTAGTTTGAGGTGGTCCGTAAGGCCACCCGTACTCAATGCTGATGCCACATCATCTATCTGATATTTCGCATCAGGATGATCTTTTGAGAGGTATCTCACCCCTCGTTTCTCTATTTTTATCCTCTTTGCTTCGGGCCCGAATTCCCTGACATTTTCCCAGAATCCTTCGGTGAAAAAACTTGAATACCACTGCGTTGGCACTAGCCAATAACCATACGTGTGAAATTTATCAGTCTGACCTATTTTTGGTTCTCAATTCATTGATGGGGCTTTTCTAGATGTTTGACAAGTTTTATTCTTGTCGATGAACCAGCTTGTCTTGATGATACCCAAATTAGGGAGACCAGGACCACCACAATTATACATCTGGGTCATGAGAGACACGGGTTGATCTCCCCAGATCTATTTATGAAATTAGTATTCAGATACTTTCGTGATAAGGGAAGACTTAAATTCTCAATAAGCGAGTATCCTAGTTCGGCGAGAGGTTCGTCTTCAAAGTAAGGCTCATTTTCGCCCTCGGCCGCTGGGTCATCACAATCATCCACCTCGTCAAAAATTAACCTTCGTATAGCATGCTAAGTCACATTGCAGGTCAGATAAAGAGTTCGATTATCTGTCCTTCACCTCGCCACTTACTGCAAATTCATAAACCAAAGTAGTCGCAATTCTCAACCGGTTTTCCGTCCTGTACGTAGATATCAATAGGCGATCACATATTCAGTATCTAAACAACCCAATTTTCGCTTTATGTCAAGTCATCTTTCAGAAGAGGTTGCGCCAACTCCGTAGAAACAAGCACCTCAATCCTATCATAAATTATATGGTTTCTTGTTATTGCGTTACGGCTTGTACGAGATCGAGGCAAACCAGTTGCAATATCCTCACACCCGCTGCGAAATCCGAATATAACCTTGGATGTTATGTTTTGGATCGAGCTGTGAAGAGCTTACGGGGAAGAGCGGCTGATTCTTTCACCATGAGTCCTGGAGAAGGATCGTTGCAATTTAATTCCTTTAATGCTTCTGGGCACACCTTCGGCATTGTCGTTGAGAAGTGTATTTAGCCTAGGAGATACATCAGCTTTTGTATTTTATGGTTCGAATTAGATTACTAAACACACCACGAGTATTTGCATTCGCTGTGGAAAATCATTGTTACCAACTGTAAGCAGGGCTTCAATAGACTCCGCACAACTAGATTATCTGCCTAGTGAGAGAGCAACGAAACTTTAGCCTAAGTGTAAATTGTGCGAAAGAAGTTTAGTGTAAATACTCACCATCCAAAAACCTTTTTCGTCTCCGAGAATTGGTATAGCTCCCTTATGCTTCGGCATGTCATCTTCTGTCACCAACTTACTTTTCTCGAAACAAGGATGAATAGTGTTCCGTAGACTATGAAGAAAAATATCTGTATCCATAACTACCAAGCACTTCACGGTGTGAAGATCGAATGCTGTGAAACCGTCGAATGTCTTTGTTTGATATCTTTCCAGTTCATCAGAAGTTTCTTTCCAATTGCGCCTCTTGTTACTTCGATTAGATTCCGAATAATCCTCCCGAGGTGTTAACCCGCTTTTTGATTCATTGCCCAATATTCGATGATCGACAGATGCAAACTTTCCCAGGGGTCGGCTATACCTTTTGGCAGGGACTGACCACCCAAAGGTGTAGCGAGATCGTTCGCCTAGAAATGAAAATTAGTATTTGTTTTTTTTACACTATTACAAGAGAGAAGGCGGCTCGTAAAACTCAATCAACGATAGCAATTGTCCTGTGGTATCATAACTTATTTTGCCAATTGTCCTTGCCTCATCATCCACCACAGCTAGTGCATCTGCCATACTTTCAAAACAATGTTTCCACCATAGATGACAAACAAAGTTAGCGTAAGCAAGAGGAAGTAGTATGTATGCATACGCTTAGCCAAGCACGTTATGTATAACCATGAACAGAATCTACTCATAAATTGGCTTCTTGTTTCAAGTGTTACATTTCAATAAAAACATCATTTATCCCAATGGCAAATGTGATTATTCAAGTGGCAGGCAATTCAATACTTCTTTGTCTGCAACCGGCTATCAGTGACCTATCACATCTGAAAAGTACAAATGAATGCCTGTAGTAATTCAGAGGTTCAAAGATCAAAGAATCAATGACCAAAAATCAAAATGGCTCGAAATGAATAATAAGTATCAAGATGAACACGTCATGAGATGATCTAAAATCCAATCACTGACGTTGTAAGATGCAGCCCTTGTTGTAGAAATAATTGAAAAACTAACAGACTCAAACAATCGCACAGATGGCAACTAATCTGGCTACTTCTTTCCAATCAACTATGGTTAAATCTTTGCTACTCATCACAAAATCTCTCCTGTATATCTCTTTGTCGCTCTGCCCAGTGAGTTCCCGCTGAGTATCCACCAGCCGGGTGCGGATTTGTTGATGCTTGTTCATTTTTAGTCTGCTCATCTTGAATGCTAAGCATGGTCCCTCCCGTTGTTCCTCTTACCGTTGTGACATCGAGACCCGGATATAATTTTATAGTGGTTTTAACTTCCACTGGTTCGCTTTTCTTGGATTCCTCACTTCTCTTCTCAGATTTCTCAAATTGCTCCCCTTTTTTTGCAAATCGGCAGCACAAATAATATTCGATTACTGACCCGTAGCACCGGAAGAATCTTGCGAAATGTGTTGTGTTTGCAATAATAAGACCAAAAGTGTGTTCGGTGATGTAGACAATCCATAGAGGTGTAAGATACCACATACGGTCGCTATGCAGTTGAAGATAAACGCGCCAATAGACGCTGAAGGTCGCGGATAAAATGGCCCTGTTCATTATTAACATACGTCTTATTTCGTTGTAAAGTAAAACTTACAAACCCCCAGTGCTGAAGACAAGCAAGATACCTAGTTTCTTCCGTATAGTCGCGGTTTTCAAGGTGCTTACTGCCACCAGCGGTATGAGAAAAAGATAAAGATCAATCACTAGACCAAAAATGCCTTTTGGTAAGTTAAGTGATTGCCCTTTAATAACATTATCCACGATGAAATAAATTGAAAGTGGAAAGGACCAAAGTGCGTTGAGGGTGATGATAATTATGTAAAAGATTGCAGTGACTCCTATGCCAATAAAGCACAATATTCTTATTGTTTTTAGAGTAGCAAAGAGCTCAAGATACATTAAGAAGATAGTGATTTTGATAAGGCATGATGATATAGCAGGTACCAATGCGCTACTAGCATTTACGGCACGACTGCGAAATGACAAAATCTTGTACACTGAGACATTCCATGAGTGAATACCAAATTGGCCAAAACCCGTCGACGCAAGCTAAAAGATAATCGTAAAGTCAGAGAAGCTTCTCAATTGTAATTAGGTATTGAAGGAATAAAATGGAATGATGCTCACCGTGAGAATTATATACGAGGCCATTGTTGCAAGAATAGCGAGGGTGAACCCAACATCGCTCCAAGCCCATTTTATGGGACGTGATAGTTTAAAAGTGACCCATATCCTTATGATAACACATAATGCTATCATGGCGAAACCGATACCGCAAAATGACAAAAGGAGAGGCCGTGTATTGGCCGGATTCACAAAGTTGGGAGTCACCCCCGGCGGAGGAGGAGCAATTCCGATCTTTGCAGCAACCGAGTCCGGTATTTGAGAAGCATCGAAAGGGTCAGCACGCTGGAAAATTAATGGAGTCATGACAGTAGCCTTCCACAAGATGAGATATAAGATGCTTTTGATAGTCTAACTTGTCAACCTATATGTAACGGGAGTTATACTTTTTGGCTCAGTCGCTTGAAGAAGTTGTGTATGGGCGAAAAGTTGAATGTGTAGTTTGAAGGTTTGGGAGGGAGGAACCATCGCTACTAAATAACCATGCGACCACGCAAGGTAATCTAAAAGAGACCAACAGCACCAAAGCTTGAATGTAGATTTCAAAGTTGGTTGGAGATCTCCATTTTCCAGTACGACTTCTTCATCTTTTCAGAAGACGAACATAAAAATGTGGTATTTGCCGAATTGGTTTAGATTGTATTATATTTAGCTTCGGAGAGTGCCTCATTGCGGAACATGGCTATCTCCGGAAAACAATTAACGAATCCTTTCATGTTTGAAAAGTAGCTTTCCTAATTCGAAACAACATCAAAAATAAATAGTGATTTGCGCTGCTGACGGGTATTTAAGACCACTAATCGGATTTTGGAAGTGTAAATACCAAGGAGAGAGACCACTTGTAAACCCCCCTTGAGTATTGCCGAATCGTTCTGATCACATGATATTGGACTTGTGAAACAGTATGTCTTGGTTGACTCACAGGCTTTCTTGAGCTTTTAAAGCAGTTTGATATGTACTGCACACATCATTTAAGAGCCTTACATTTGGGCCATGAATCATGTAAGTATGTGGTACTAGCCAAACATTTATGGCGGTACATAGCGAATTATAAAGAAAGGGAAACTCCTGTTTCGATATAAATAGAAATTCCCAATGAAACCCTTGGTGTGAAAATCATCCTGCAGCCCCTAAGACTGAGGTGATATCGACCCCATTTTATTTGCAATATTCTGTTCTTACCACTGAATCTGATTCCTTCTATTAGCGATCCCACAATTGAGATTGAAACACAGCTACACTACGGTAGATGTCGAGTGTGTTCACATTTCAAACTATAAATATCATGTGCCATGCATGCATTGAACAGTGTGGAAATGCAGGAATAGGTAGCTTTAGTGAGACGACGTATAAGTGAACTGACTGAAAGCGTGTCGAGAGCGGATGTACTTCCATTCACATCCTTCCTTTAGTAGAGAGGAGTACCCAGAAGAGAAACAAACAAAGAAAGAAAGAAATAAAGAGAGAAAGAGAGAAAATAGACATTGACAATTTCACTCATGTAACCTTCACAACATTCCAAAAACGAAATCAAGTGATGCCGGTACAAAGAATAGCTAGATTATGATGTTGATTGATCTTTAACGAGATTGGTCTTCCTCCAGGTTCTACTTTGATTTTAAGGTTCCCTGATGAACTTGTACGGACTCGCGAACCTTTTGGACCCAGACCATTTAATAAACTTAGATTGCTGAAGGATCCAATACGCTGGTACTGAGTTATGTCACTGAGCTACATGTCAAAGATCGTTGTTCGTTGAAGGCGTGGAGACTATTGAGAACTAACATCAAAAATCAAGACATTTAGCATTGGATGTGATGTGATGTAGTGAATGTTCCGATCCTCATTCGTGACCGGAGATGGTTCGTACTTACTAGGTATATGATGTGGCGAGGTCTTAGATCCCATCCAGTCTTTGGGATAATATCTCGCCCGAAGTCCCTCATATTCATGTGCCAAAGTGAGAGCCCAATGAACCAAAAAAGGGGTTGTATATGCGGATCTGCATCGCAGTTCGGAAGATGATGCATAGTCTCTGGCTTCTTTTTAATATCATAACCTAATCCGAATATTATACATTTGAAATAACAATAATTGGAACCAACCATGAGGCGGAAAGCTGCCATCTTCCCCTACTTTCTACTGGTACCTCGATCCTTTCCTCTACCGTCCAACATCTTGAACCTCTTTTGAAAACCTTCACCAGTTTGCATACCACTGCCTCTGGGGCCATCCTCGACACCCCTCTTCCTGCTCTTCTCTAGAACATCCTTCATTCCACCACCGCTACCACTCTTCCTCTTTGTCAACCTCTCAATTCTATCAATACCCTCACCCAATCCTCTCCATTCTTCACCACCATATCCAGCATCTTGTCTTCCACCCGCTTTGTTTTTCTTCGCCCGGTCTTTTTTGTTTTCCTTTGGCAATCTGGTATAATTTCTCTCCTCATATTCTCTTCTTTCATCATCCTCCTTCTTTTCCTTGTCACTCTTCGATCTTCTACCACCAGCTATAATGTTGGAACCGATACTTGCCTCTGCAATTGGAGCAGCAGACAATTCTGTATTGATAAACTCATCCAAGGTTGCAGATTTGTTCGCTTTTCTGTCTTTCTTCTCGCGACGCTCGGTGGTGGGCATGGCAGTTGCAGTGATGCGAGGAGGTTTGTAGATACCATCAGATGAATGCTTCGAATCATCTTCTGTAGCAGCGGCAGGTCTAAGAAGAGATGACGGATTCGGTCGATATTGTAGATCGTCAATTTGCGGGTTCTCAAGAGGTGCTTCATTTCCATCTGCATCACTACCATCCTCAGATTCTGAATCATCTTCATCGCTTGGCGCATCACCTTTAGTTCCAACTGGTTTCGATGCAGGCGCAAGAGCTCGAATGGCATCGTCGGACGCCCGGAGTACTTTGTCGATTTGATATTTTAGTCGACCTTCCAGTGGTCGAACGCCTTTCTCAAGGTATACCCTCAATTCCACCAACTTCTTCACCACCGCATTATCCAATTCTTCTTCATCCTCGTCTAATACATCTTCTTTTTGGTTCCTGATCTTGAGAATTATGATAAAGACTAGATTTTGAAGATATGATAAAAGAAGCTCATTCTTCACATCTAGGAGTGAGATACCATCAGTGGGAGGCTTAATAAGTGAGCTCTCTGGGGCTGATTCAATGGCCGAATTCAATGATTGAGTAAGAGTGGTCAATAATGCCGGTAGAGAAGTTTCGACAGCCATGATTTCGTCGTTACGTTTCTTTCAATTGAACGTAACGTAGGTAGAAAAGCAACGTTGTGTATGATCGATCAGGGTGTGAAGAAGTGTAAGAATCTCCACCTGAGGAAAGAAGAAGATTTCAATTGATTGTATCGATAAGAAAATTAATTTGTCAAGGGGAATAAATTTTTGTTTGCGCCGGTCAAATATTAATCCTTCTCCGTGTTTCATGCGGCCGCTGCGGCGAGGCCAGATTAATTGAAAGGTTGTCCGTTCAAGTTCCCTAGAGTGGTAGCAAGCAACGAGTAACAATCAAGGAGTTTATCAAGTTGATTTATTCCAATATCAACATATTATAATTCTTCTCTCAAAGTTTGAAGACATTTTACAAGTTAGTTATTATCAACTTCGCTTCATATGAGAGAATTTACACATTAGTTCTTTGCTGGCATTTCATGCTAAATTAAACATAAGGATCAAGGGTTGGATCTTCGTAAGCTCCCCTTTCACAAATAATGTTTCCCTTATGATTTCTTGAATATAACCTAACTCTTAAATCATATCAAGCTCACAAACCGCTAGGCAAATACTCTTCATCATGCGTTTAAAACACCTCAAACCATCTGCGGCCCTTATTGCGACCCTTCTCGTCGCTCCCGAACTATCCTCAGCTTTCTACCTTCCTGGTGTTGCGCCGACATCATACTCACCCGGCGCCAAAGTTCCCTTATACGTGAACCGACTTACACCTGTCGGTTCTTATGATGATGGCCAATTGAGATCAGTAGTATCTTTCGACTACTATCACCCGGCTTTCCATTTTTGTAGACCAGATCCAAAACCAGAATATGTCTCGGAAAGTTTGGGCAGTATTCTTTTCGGTGATCGCATCATGACTTCGCCCTTTAACCTGAAGATGGGAGTCAACGAGACGTGTACACAACTTTGCGAAGAGAAGAAGTTTGATCAAAGCTCGGCACATTTTGTAAACAGAAGGATACAACAGGGGTTTGCGATGAATTGGTTGGTTGATGGTTTACCAGCAGGACAATTGATTGAGGATGAAATCACACAAACGAGGTTCTATAGTCAAGGATTCGCATTGGGGAGTAGCGATCAGAAGGATATGCACTTGAACAATCACTATGATATTTTTATCGACTATCACGAGGTATCTGCTGGTCAAATGAGAGTTGTTGGTGTTATTGTTCAACCTTCATCGAGGACAATGAATGAAAATCCAGGGATCCAGAATGCGGTGCTGGTGGACCACAAGTGGTACTTTCAGAATCTGGAGAGACAGCCGTCACGTATTCGTATAGTGTCTGGTGGCAACCTTCAACAACGGCTTGGGCTACCAGATGGGACAAATACCTTCATGTTTTTGATCCAAAGATTCATTGGTTCTCTCTGATCAACTCGGCCGTCATTGTGGTATTTCTCGTCATCACAGTCCTCTCAATTCTCATGCGAACTTTGAGAAAAGATATTCAAAGATATAACAGACTCGATTCGATCAACCTTGATGACTTATCAGGAACATCTGCTGCTATCGAAGACGGAGTTCAAGAAGACTCCGGATGGAAATTGGTACATGGAGATGTATTCCGTACACCAGGACGTCCCTTGATTTTGAGTGTATTTCTCGGCAACGGAGCTCAATTGTTTGTTATGACGGGCTTTACAATTGCATTTGCGCTTTTGGGGTTTCTTTCACCATCCAATCGTGGATCTCTTGGCACTATCATGATCCTTCTGTATACTGTACTCGGTTTTATCGGAGGATATGCCTCAGCCCGTGTATACAAGTCTTTCGGTGGTGAACAATGGAAGCTCAACATTGCCTTGACTCCAACTCTCGTCCCGGGTATTGTCTTTAGCACATTTTTCCTTCTCAACCTCTTTCTTTGGGCCAAAGAGTCTTCTGGAGCAGTACCATTCACAACAATGCTCGTCATCGTTGCTATATGGTTCTTCTTCTCCTTACCTCTATCATTTGCCGGAAGTTGGGTTGGGTTCCGTCAACCACCTATCGCATCTCCAGTCCGTACCAACCAAATACCACGTCAAATTCCTCCTTCTACATCGTACATGCGTCCAATTCCATCCATGCTTCTTGTAGGTATCTTACCATTTGGAGCAATCTTTGTTGAACTTTACTTTATCATGTCCTCCATTTGGTTTTCAAAGGTTTACTACATGTTCGGCTTCCTGTTTTTATGTTACGGTCTCATGATCATCACATGTGCCGCTGTTACTGTTCTTATGATATATTTCTTGCTTTGTAGCGAGAATTACCACTGGCATTGGAGAGCATTCATGACGGCCGGTGCTAGCGCCGGTTATGTGTTTGCAAATGCCATGATCTACTGGGTGACAAAACTGCAACTTGGTGGCTTGGCGGGTAGTGTACTTTACATTGGGTATAGTGCATTAATCTCGTTTTTGTTTTTCATCCTTACTGGTATGCCCATAATCCACAACAATCTAATACGAGATTATACTAATCAGTGGTTCAGGTTCAATCGGATATTTTGCTTGTTGGGCTTTTGTCCAGAAGATTTATGGATCTATTAAAATCGATTAGGGTTTGACTTGGTTGGGTCACAATGACCCTCCGTTAGATCACGACATGTGCGATTATGTGAGATTACGGGCGCGATGGAAGTGTTTGAGAGAAAGACAAGTCGTCTATGTACCATAAAGCTGGATTTTCCTTGATTTCGGAAGTATCTTCAATTCAATCCGTGTGATGCGATGATTAAAATATTTATAGCGACTGTCCAAAGAGACATGGCGAGGTGCAAAGGCGTTTGATTAGGGTGGGGTGTATTAGTACGCAGTGAAAATGAATTATCACTTTATTGTGTCGAAGGTTTGCGGCGATCTGGAAACGGTAATTTGCCAATGAAGGCCATGTGCAATAATTATTACGTTGTCACCTTTGTCTGCTTATGGCACTAGACTTGTTCTTTTTTCGTCAAGTAAGCACTTCACTATTTTGGTATTATTCCAGTGGATACTGCTATGCTATCATTACTCGAGATTGGTAAACCAACTGTTGGTCTCACTTGTTTTATTCTATAAATATTTGTTTTCAGACACTGTCATCAAGCATAATCATATTTACATTGCAGAGTGTCATTTCCTTTTTTCAATCATTTCTCTTCATCTATTCAACATCCCTATAATTTGAAGTCCAAACATTACCGCTCGAAAGATGAGTGGTCTTTTTCAACTCTGGGAGCTGAAAGAGATTTTGACTTCCACTTGTAAGATCTTGACAGATCCTAATGATCTCAATTTTGCAGAGTATCTGAAGCGATGGACGGATATTGACTTGAAGACTCCTGGAGCTATCGTACTCCCTACTTTAGAAATTGATTGCCAAAACATTGTGAGAATTCAAAGCACCCGAGCATTGGTCTCTTCCTAACACACAGAAATAAGTAAAATGGGCGTCAAAATACTCTATACCTTTCGTAACAAAGAGCGGAGGTCACAGTGCATGGTCTACTATTGGAAGTAACGGCATCATTATTGACTTGAGTTTATACAAGGGTATAGAAGTGTACACAGAGTCTGGCACAGCAATGCTTAAAGGGAGTATTCTTTCTAAAGAAGTAGCAGGAACTCTTGCAGACGCTGGGTTCTTCACTGGTATGCATTATTTAGTCTGCTTCCAGAACTCTTGGGAAGTGCCGTTAACGTTACATCTAGCTTTGGGAAACGGTAACACAGTGGGCGCTATCCCATACTTTCTTGGTGGTGGTTGTTCCATTACTTCTTCTATTACTGGTTTTGGATCAGACCAAATTATCTCGGCTCGTGTCATAACTGCAGATGGAGAATTGATCAATGTCACTGATGACACAAATCCGGATCTGCTTTACGCCATACGTGGAGCTGGGCAACATTTTGGTCTCGTAACACAACTCGTCATCAAAATCTATCCTTTGAAGAATCTTGGGAACGATGAAGGTGTCGTTTGGGTTGGAAGTTTTGTCTTTCCACTTGATCGTGCTTGCGAAGTGACTTCTGTCATGAAAAAATTAATGAACAATGATCAATATGCAACGGCTGGTCTCATGATGATCATGGCGCCACCCCCAGCAAGAGATCCATGTTTGGTTATTGCGGCTCGTTACACCGGGAATCCTGACGATGCGGCATTAGCATATAAAGACATATACGACCTAGAGCCACTTGTTGCCAATGGAGCGACGGTACCAATTCAGAATGCAAGCGATAGAGGGGAAGCACTCGCGGCCAAGGGGGGCTTTAAACAATTCGGTATTGTTGGCCTGCATCAATTCGATGAAGAAGCCTTTCTTCGGATAATTGCAATCTGGACGGAGATGATTGCCACATGTCCAGATGCAGTAAATACTGCATTCAATTTTCAATGGGATTCTCGGCCCGTAAAGAGGCCTAGTATTGAGTCAGCCATGTGTCTTCACGACATTAGGTATTGGCAGTAAGTGAAAGATTCCTCTTACTTTCAAGAATGTTTGACAAGCTAACATTTGTAGAAACAATTTCATCTGGCACACTGAATCTAAGAATCGATCGAAAGTTGACGAATTTAATGAGCGATCTATTGCCATAATGCGTGGTAATGATGAGGCAAATTTTGTAGATTTTCAGAATGGTACTCGAGCTGGACCTATTGAGCGGAGATTTAGAGGAAACAAAAGGCTTACCAAATTGATGGCCTTGAAGAGAGAATGGGATCCAAGAGGTGTATTCAAGTCTGAATTACTCTATTAATTTACAAATATAGATATAAACTACTGATACAACTTTATATAAAGAATATATAGATTTATAATAAAGATTGTTTTCTGAATAATAATAAACTTTGAATTTTTAATTCATTTTCGATTAAAAAGATAGAAAGTCTATTTAAGTCAAATTAAAAGTTATAAAATATTTTGAATATATTTTTATTATCAATATTCTTATTTGATTTTTTGAATAATAATATATATTTGATTTTAATTTATTTTCAATTAAAAAAAAAATATTCAAAAATAATATAATATTGTTTTTAAAGTTTTTTATATAACTTTTTATTTTTCTTTTTATTTCAAACTAAAAGCTATAAAGTATTTAAAATGTATTATTATAATTAATATTAAAATTTAATTTCTTATATAATAATTAATATTTGATTCATAATTTGTTTTTAATAAAAAAGAAAAGATTTTTGATTAAATATAATCTAATAATATTTATAAAAATTATTTCATAACTTTTATTTTATTTTTTTAATTTAAATTTAAAGTTATATAATACTCGAAATTTATTATTAATATTAATATTAAAATATAATATTTTTAATTATAATATATCTTTTTTTATAAATGAAAAATCGAAAAAAGAAATTTGATTATAAATAATTCTATATTATTTATAAAGAACATTTTATAAGTTTAATAATAATTTTTTGATTTAAATTGAAAGTTATAACATTATCAAAATAAATGTATAAATTAAAATTAAAATTCAATTTTTTATAAAATAATATTATATTTTTTTTAGAAAATGTTTTATAACTTTTAATGTATTCTTTTGTTTCAAATTAAGAGTTATAGTATTTTTAAAATTATATATATATTTTTTTTAATTATAATAAATATGAAATTCTAAAAATAAAGATAAGAATATTAAAATAGAAATTCTTTAAAAAATGATTTAATATTATTCATAAAAAATATTTTATAGCTTTTATATTATTAGTTTATTTCAAATCAAAAATTATAAAGTTTTCAAATTAAAATATTTATATTATCGTAGGTCATAGGCTAGTAGTATAGTATGGAAGCTGGCTCTGATTAATAACTAAAATGGATTATATAAGCAGTGTAATATGTGATATTAAAGAATCTGTATTAAAATAGTGATCTCTCTTATTTTATATTCAAAAGGAAAAAGATCTCTTTTTATGCTTTTTCCTATTAATTTAGCTTTTCCGTTTTCATTAATCTCTTATAGATCTCTTCCTAATCCATCTATTTTTTCGAAATAAAGCCCCTTTTTGTTTTCTTTATTTTACAGCCGTTTTCATATTTTATGGCCATTTTTAAATTAATAGTTGTTTTCGGATTAATGATTGCTTTTGGATTAATGGTCATTTTTGGATTAATAATTGCTTTTATAAGCTTATAAGTGATGATTATATAATCTGATTATATAATAGGCTAATATTAGATTAAATGCCTTTAAAAAGATATATATATTATATTATTTTTTAATTAAAACAATAATCCTTTTTAATATATATTATCTTTTTATACATATATAAATATATATATATATATATTAATCTCATTAAAAACCTTTTTATTTTAAAGAGAAAAAGAATACTAATTTTTTATAACATAACGTATGGGGAACTCGGACATATAAAGAACTCGAACACTTTTAGCCCATTATTAACTTGAAATTATAATAACTTTTATTATATATATTCAATCATTTTCTATATCTATTCAAATTAAAGAAAAGCTTTAAAAGACTATAATTTCATTTTAATTAAAAGAATTTAAATCAATTAAAAAGACTACAAAACATTTTGAAGTTCTTAAATCTATTCTAACTAATAAACTAACTAAAAAGAAAATATATTCCCAAATCTATAAAATGGCTTAAATTCTTTCAAATGTAAAAGAAAATATTCTTATATAATAGATTTCATAATTTACTATTATTAGATTCCTTATTATACTTATATTAATAAAAAAAATGATCAACGAAATTCGTTTTTGATATATTCAGGTCATATTATTTTGAAATTTTATTTTGATAGAAATTCTATTTATAGATTACAAATGGATTTATAGATTCCAAAAACAATATTTAGAACTTAAAATATACTATTCACATTAATTAGAATCTAATTAGGTTAAAAAAGTAATTCTAAAGAATATTTAGACTTAATTTAATACATTTCGCATATATCTTATTAAATGAAAATATAAATTAGATAATATATATAATATAAATAAAATTGAATTTGAAATTGGAAGTATTCAAAATACATATATTATAATTGATTTTACTTAAAAATCGAATTGGAAAATTACAATTAATAAATAAAAATAAATAACTATATTTGAATATATTAATATAATTAGAAATACTTTATTATTTATAATTATTTTTAAGATTTAAAATATGAATTCTATATGGATTCTAAAGGACACATTTCAAAACTAATAATTCTTTATTAATATAAATAAATGAATCTCAAATAATTATAAATTAAAATAATTAAAAAGGATTTTCGAATTAGAATCCAAAAAAGTATCAAATGACCAACCTCAACTTTTGATTATAAATAATTATTTAAATTATATTACAAATAGCTTTATTATTTTCTATATAAATAATAATATTGATTTATTTATATTACTTCCTTATTACTTTTATTTACTTTAGTTATTTGATATTATAATATATAAACTAATAAAACAATATTATACTTTAAAGATTAATTAATATTTTTAAATTAATATAAAGCAAATTCAAAAAGTTAAATAAATAGAACTCTTTCAAAATATTAGAAAAAAAATATTGAATTCTTTTAATATTAAAATTAACTAGAAAAAAGCTAGTTTAATATCTTTTATTTTATGAAAAGTATTTGATTTATTATTATTTAATTCCTTCTAATAATCTTCTATTCTATAAATAAGAATTTCTAATTAAGATCTAAATTTATCTATATTTAAAAGTTTTTCTTTAAATAGAATAAAATTAAAATAAATAAATCAGATCTTTAATATAATTTTAATAAGTAATAGTTCTCCTATATTATTAATTTATTAATATATTAAAAGAATAACTAAATTTATAGAATCTCAAAATATTAAGATAACCTTATTTCAAAAATAGCTTTTTAATATTTAAAAGATAATTAAAACTCAAAAGAAAAGAATTAAAGACAAAAAAATCAAATTATAAGATCAATTTGTTTTTAATATTAAGAAAATATTGAAAATGATATATAAAATAAAAAAAAAACCGAAGAAGAAAAAGCTATAAGAATAATTATATAAATACTTAATTGTAGAATTAGAAGAAAAGATTAAAAAAGAAAAGCTAAAGAATAATTCAAATAATTCGAAATTGGAATTGAAGGATTATATAGCTTATAGAATAAGATTATATATAGAATAATTGAAAAAGTGTTCGAGTTCCTTATATATCCGAGTTCCCCATATGTTATATTATATATTTTTATTTTAATAATAATAATTATTAAAATTTTGAATTATATTAATAAATCTTGATAATTTGATTCTTTCTAATGGCTTAACGTGGTTTATCAGTGCGTGGCCCATATCAGTGGGTGGCCTACTTTCATTTCAATTTATATTTTCAAATTTATATTTCTCAACAATTATTGAATCAATTGATTAAAGTTATTATAAATCTAATAATCTAGGATTTATTATATTATTTTTATAGGTTCTTGTATTATGATCTGTTTTTCTACATTTACTATAGTATCGATTAAAAGATGCCTCTGTATTAGAATTTCTTTTATTTTGATGTTTATTGTGTCGAATTTAGATATCAATCTTCTGTTGAAATAATATATCTGTAGCTTCCTGTTTAGTAAGTACTTTTTCTTGATGTAATTAGGTTTTTTTTGTGTATCGATGTTTGCTTAATACCTTATTTGCTTTTTGAAGTGTACAAATTTCTGTATTCAAAAGTGTATTTTTATGTGTTAATCTTTTTGTATTTTTAGTTAAAGCTAATATAGTTTGAAATAAAGGTATAGAAGAGTTTGATTGATGATGAGTTATTTGAGATTTAACTAGTGTTGATTGAAAGAGTGCTTTTGTAGGATTGTAAGGTATTTGAGAAATTCAAGGTTCTGAATTGGAAAAAGGAGAAGTGGGTGTATGGATTTGAATATCTAATTTAGAAAGCACTATTTCAGGATTGAATAGAACTAATTCTATTCTTTGAAACCCTGATTTCATATTCTGATTCATAATTGATTGTTGATATATAGTTTTGAAAGCTATAAAGAATTCAATCTTTGAAATATGATTGATATATGCCTTTATAAATCCCTCAATTTGTGTACTATACTCTTGTTTTAAGATACTAAAATATCCAATATCAAGAAACTAGGTTAAATGACTTGAATGTGGTGGTAAATATATATATTTGATATTATTCTTTTTGTAATAGTTTTGGAATGGTATTGATTTATGGCTCTTATGTCTATTTAGTATTAGCATTCTATATTTGCTCTTAATTCGATTTCTTGTATATTTATCAAAGTATTTCAATTATTCTAATCCTGTTTCATTATTCGTCCACCCATTGCTTGTAGATTTAATAGTTTAATCTGCAGGAAGATTGGTTTTTGTATATCAATTGGAAAGATGTATCTGTTCTTGAACTATTAGAAATAGAGGTATAGTATTTCCTTTACTATTACCATATATAATTGCTGTAGTTTATTCTCGATTACCTAACTATATAGTTTTATTTTTGCTGTATCTCTTAGTATTAGTAACAATTATACCAATACTTATTATTTTTATTATAAAGTCTATTTTATTGAAGTTCCATAAATTGTAATCGAGAATATCATATTTTGTTTGTATATTTAATATAAATCGAAATTAGTTTTTAATAAGTGTAGAATCTTCGCAAAGAGCTTTTTGAAAATTATAAATATATTTAAAACACATCTTTAGTTTTATATAACGTTTAATAAATCAATAAGCCTAAAGCTTTCC